TTGCGGAAAAGCGATTTTTCACTGTTTTTTAATATTCATTTAAAATTAATTAAAAAACTAAAAATAATGCCATTCTGGAAATCAAGGATGTTGTTCTACACACTTGGGGCTACATTTTTTCCTATACTGCAAAAAATTTCTGAGGGGTGCATCTTTGCGAAAATTGCGTCAGAAAGTGAAATTTGCAATTTAGTGACCTTGACCTTTGACCTACGCAAAAGTTGTCAACAGAAAAGTTGTCGGGCGTAAAAAGTTACGTCTGTAAGTGAAAAGATCATTAACAATTTCTCAATAGGAGCAAAGATATTCCATATTTTTTGTTTTTGGAAAAATCTGATTTCCCGGAAAAGCACCCCTTATTTTGACTTGAAAATTTGGTGAGCGAGGCCTCTTGACCACCCCAACAACATACTTGAAAATTGGAATGGCATGTTTTCAAGAAAATTTTTTAACATTTACCCTCAAATCTTTCCTGGACGCACCCAACAAAATTTAAAAAGAAACCAATTGGGAGGCGATTTATGCAACCCGGTCGTCAGCAGCGTGGCGCGGGTTGCATTTTTTGCCAAAGCCCGACCATGTTTTTTTCCTGCTCACAATCGGCCGAGTCCATTTTTCGGCGGCGTGTCCGACTCGAGTCCGACTCGGACGAGCGACCGAGGCGGTGCCGCGCGTTGGAATTCGCCAACCGACCACAATTTCGCCTCGGTCCGGACAGATGGCGACTCCATTGCGTGTCCGAACAAACAACTGAAAATTTCAATGACTGCAATTATTGGAAAATTATTGCAATCTTAATGAAGAAGACAAAAAATAAAACCATGAGAATAAGAAAATTGTCATCAATTCGGTTTTTAATCTGAATTTAAAATAATTATTTTTATTTTAGGTCCGGTTGCAGCGTCAGGGTCATGTTCGGAGGAGGAGGGCGCGCGGCGGGGTCGCGCCATCACGCGGCGCAGGGGTGCCATGAAGAAGAACAAGATCCACGAGGTCAAAGGTCACAAGTTCGCGGCCAAGTTCTTCCGCCAACCGACCTTCTGCGCCTTTTGTCGAGAGTTCCTTTGGTATTTTTCGGAAACGAAAATTTGGTCAAATTTCTTTCAAACTTTGTGTTTTTCCAGGGGTTTCGGGAAACAAGGTTACCAATGTCAAAGTAAGTTGTTATTATTATAAAATAAATAATTTAATTTGATTGAAAAACAAAAATTAGCTTGTCAGACTGCCGTTCACAAAAAATGCCACGACAAAATTCTTGGGAAGTGCCCAGGCTCAAGCAAAGAATCTCAAAGTACAATTGTGAGTTTGATTTTAACTTTTTCTAAATATTTTTTATTAAATTCCTTTAAATTTTGTCCTCAGTACCTTAGAGAACGCTTCAAGATAGATGTTCCTCATCGGTTTAAGGCGCACAACTTCATGTCGCCGACCTTTTGTGATCACTGCGGCTCCCTCTTGTACGGCCTCTTCCGCCAGGGACTCAAATGCGAACGTGAGTTTTCCAAAAATTCAAAGGCTGTTTTTCGCACCGAGAGAGAAAGAAAGAATAGGAATTGCGGCAATTAAAGTCTCTATTTGATAAACTAATTTTTTCGCTGACGTCAAAGGCTAAAAATCCGCATCAGCAGCCACAAAGGATCAAAATTTCTTTCATCTGCAGCTCACCCGAAATAAAAACCTGCCCACTCGAGATAAAAAGATCTCAAAGTGGCAGTTTAATTTGCAATGTGCTTCACTGTCAGTCAGACGTTTGGCTAATTTAGGTTTTGTAATTTTTATTCTGGCCAATTTACGTCATCAATGACAAAAACAACAAGAAAATGACAGTTTTTTATTTAATTTTGCAGGAATTTACCAATAATAATCATAATATTAATACAAATTATTTAGTATAATTCTTTAATTATTGAATTAAATATTTTTCTTGTCTTTGTTTCATTGAATTTTAATATTACCAGTTTTCAATGAAATTTTGAGGTTTGCGACACATTTGCAGAATTTTCAGGCTTCAAAATACTAAATCAAAGGAGAAGTTTACAAGGCACTGCAAATCGCGGTTGATTTGTGGCGCTGCAGAGTGCAATTTTCCCCCCAGAGCCGCTTCGGTCCTTTTGGTTGAGGCTCAGAATAAGTCGGTTGACCTTGATTAAAATACGCGATAGCGAGTTTAATTCGGTTGGCTTGGCTTTCTTGACACCAATTAAGGTATAAATAAACCACGTCTGACATCAAAACAACTTGTCTGATCACAATTTCTCTTGTTATTTTTTAACCATTGCTTTTTAAAGTTGCCAGAAACGAATTCAAATCGACGTTGAAACGATTTGCTGGGTGCAGAGTTAATCGTGCCCTCCCTGAATTATTTGTGTTTTCTGGCGAGGTGCGAAGTCACTCTCGGTTCGCCGAATGCACGCGGATGCTGCCGGGGGAAATGTAATCGCTCGTCGGGCCAGATGGCCGCGCGCCAACCCCGTCATCTCTCGTCCGCTCGGCTGATAAATCGCTTTATAATTGCCTTAATCGAGTCCAGCAAGCAAAAGCAGAATTCGTGGCAACACACTTTCGGGACGCACGGACGAATTGAAGCGAAAAATCCGATCTATCGATGGAAGTTTTCTGGCTCGATTAAGAACACAACCTTGGCAGACTTACCCACTTCTGTGAGTCATGCCTTCAGAACAAAGAAAGGCAGAGACTCGAATTAGAGCAAACTAAACTCTTTTCGCCAGCAAATGCGCCGACCCCAAATTTTCGCACTTTCTGGGTCGGCCAAAGTAAACAGGAAAAGTGAAAATGAATTAAGTAGTGAAAAATTGAAACTGAACCTTTCTTTGCAAGGAAAAAACGATAAAAAGATAAAGGAATTAAAATAAAGTGGAGGGAATTCATAAAAATTTGGAGAATTTAATTTAGTAAAGAAAATTGCAGAAATTAATTGAGCAAACTGAGATTTTGCCAGAAGTTTCCAGGCCAACAAACTCCAAGATTTTTCTGGCAAATTCACAATAATCTGCCGCTGGTTTCAATTTTCCATAATTCCCCTTTGAATGAAATATTGTTTGAAATTTGTAAGTAAAATTAGAAAATTTGATGTTGAATTGAGACCTTGGTTCTCTGCAAGAGTCTAAATTTGGCTTCAGTGCACAAATGCAGATGATTGCGTCGATTTCAATGCCAATTAAAATGACGCCGATGCTCACGAGCGAGCGGCGATTGCAGTCGGGCATGAGTTTCGCGCGCGATGGCCGATTCAGATTCCTCTGCTTCCGGCACCTGCAGCCGACGTGGCCGGAGAAAGCCCTACTTTCGCAGGGACCGCCGCTTCAAATTCCACTACCCTGGTAATTTCAATTTTGGTTGATTTTGTGTGAAATAATTGTTGTGCAGGCGCAGTCTGGCGAAACAGATTTTACGTTTCTATTTCGGCGCGAGCAAGAAACAAAATTATTATTAAAGTGACTCGCTCGCTCGCTCGGCCAGAGTGAAAAACGACGGAGCTTGTAATCGCGCCACAAAGTTCTGCTGCGACCTGCGCGCTTATTAATAATCTCGCGCGCTCTCTCAAGCGTCGCGTCAATTAATCACGAGCCTTCCTCCTTGAACAGAGCCAAGGTTGGTTGTGATGAAGAGAAAGTCCAAAATTATCTTGTTACAAAATTATATTTATTGTTCTCAACTTGATGCCCCTTCAAAAGTTTCCTTATAAACTGACCTGTCCAACGAAGACAAAAACCTCAAAGGTTTTCAAATTAGTGAAGAAAAATTTCTTATTATAGATTTTATTGCATATTTTTTAGAGTGTCTTATTTACTTTTTTTTTTAAATGTGAAACTTAATTGGTAGTTTTTAAATTTATGTTTTCATTAATGAATTATTTCATCTCTTTCCATCAATTTCAAATATTTCTTAATTATTTAATTCTGCATATGAACAAGTTTGGTTGCGGCACTTATTATCTAAAAATAGCTTTGAAAGAGAGACTTTATTCTCTTTTTCGTTGGCACTTGACATAATTTTAGTGCATGAGTAACGAGCGCATAAAGAAGCCTCTCGTCGCAGCTGCAAATCAGCAGAATCAAAAACACACGTTCGCGTGCGGGGGTTCAACGGCATTTGCGGCACCGAATCAAATAAACATTGTGACGGCTCCGCTCCCTAAATCACTGCGGTTTAAACGGAAAACGTCAGAAAACGTTCGTTTTACGACTCTCGAAGCTTCACTTAATAATTTCTCCTGGCCTGTTTCTTGTTGTCACGCCTTATTTCTTTAGCCTTCGCACAGTTCTTTTGTTATTTTTGGCCCCACTCGTTGGTTGGCCGCAATTCCATTTTTCTCCTTTGCAACACGCGCCAGAGACATTTTTCGATAATGAGCCACCGGCAGCAAAAATACACACACTGCGGCGTAAAAACTATTTGCGTGCGCACGCGGTGATGTAACTCTTTTCATTGTTAACGACAAGTGTTGACACAACAAACGAAAAAGTAGTATTTTTTTTTTAAATTAAAAGGTTTTAAAATTATGAATACATGAAATTTAATTATTATTATTTTTTTTTTAATTTTTTATGCAAATAAAATTAAACTAACTAAATTCTAGAGATTTGAAAATGTAGGCTTCACTATTGCAATTTATTTTTAAACCCAGATGCACAAGACAAATGAAATCTTTGTTTTTGTTCTCACCCACAAAGCCGGAGCAATTCATCAAAAGAGTGAATTCTGCGCAATTAAGCTCGGCGAGTTAATTAGCGAACAAAACTAATTATACCAAACTTTGGCCGAACAAACAAGATTTCCAGTATAGAAAAATATTTGGTTTGTTGGTTGGGGGCGCGGGGGGCAGGCCTGTCTCGTCAATTAGCGGTGCTAAATCGGTCCGCGGCCGGCCGATTATCTGGACAAACGGCGGCGGCGGCGCTGCTGCGTGTGTGTGTTTGCTTTGCCCAAGAAGAAGCAGAAGCACATGACGCGCGGGCTCGCCGCCGCAAATAGATCTCGGGCGCTCTCTCAGTCTGTGTCGAGGCGTCGAGCGATCGCCATGGTCGCGTCTTGCAACAAGTGAACGCGATCATGCCGCTGTTCTCCGACTACTACGGCAGCCCCTTCGGGGGCTACGGCGGCTACAACGGCTACAACGGCTACAACAGCAGCCCGGTGCTGTTCCGTGACCCGGTGACCCCGCGCAGGTACGGCCCCCTGCTGACCACCATCGTCGAGAGCGGCCTGACGCCGTCGGCGCCGCGGCGGGTGCCGGCCTACGCCAGGCCCAGCCCGTACGTGCCGCCCCCGAAACTCTACTCGTCGCCCCTCGTCACCCGCACCTACCAGCGGCCGGTGCGCATGGACACGGACAACATCGACGTGTCCGGCGTCAGGAAGATCAACCTTCGGAGGGCCGAACCTGCCGAGGCGGCGCTGACCAAGGACGGCGACACGCGCGGCACCATCAAGAGGGGCAGGACGGTGGTGCGGATCCACACCAAGAAGCAGAAGGACAACCCTGACATCGACAAACGCAGACGCATGACCCCTGGCGAGCGACTCAAGGAGAAGTTCATGATCAGGGACTACGACGCCGAGAGGAAGAAGAAGGACGAGGAGGAGGAGCGGCGCCGAACCACGGAAAGGGAGGAGGCGGAACGCAGGTACCGCAGGCTCATGTGCGTCGAGGTGCAGCAACCGGTGGCCCCGCAGGTCAGGACGGTCACCCAAGACCTTCTCCAGCCCAAGCAGCACGAGGAGGAGGAGGAGGAGAGCTCAGGGTCGGACACGGAGACGGAGGATTTGCAGGAAAACAGAAAGGTGAGGAGCGTGAAAAAGAAGAAGCGGCGGAAAAACAGACAGAGTTCTGTGAAGAAGAAGGAAGAAGTAGCCCCTGTGGCGCCTCCTCGGAGCAAAAAGCCCGCAGAGGTGGAGGAACCTGCGAAAAGGGCGCCAAAAGACCGCGTCAAGTCGGTCAAGGCCGGCGGCGTGAGTAAGCGAGTGGCCGCCACCAAGAAGTCCATCTTGCTGCCGCCCAAGGAGGAGGTGCAGATTTCCAAGGAAAAGAACAAGGGCCGCACTTCGGAGCCCCTCGGAGACATGATGAAGTCCTTCTCAGACTTTTTCCTCAATTTCGGAAAGCAGAAAAAACAGGAACCTGCTGCGAAGCCGGAGCCCGTGGACAGCAAGGAGCCCAGAGGCATTTTGAACTCGGACATAATCGGCAAAAGGAAGAGCGTCGTTTGCCTCGAGTACAGGGCGAGCGTGCGAGTGGCGCGAGTCGTGGACAAGGAGAACGCACGTCCCGCTCTGGTGGGCAGCAAAAGTTTGGACGGCGAAGAAATCGGCAACGGGGACAAGGCCGCGAAAACGGAGCAGCAGCCGGTGTGCCAAAATAATAAAGCGAATTTGGCAGAAAATAAATTCGCGGCAGCCAAAAAGAAGCAAGAAGCCGACTGCTTTTTCTTGTTCGATAAGGAGTCCGTGGAAATGGTGACGGGCAACGCTGCTGGCCCCGCGCCAGACACCGAGCAAACGACGCAGGTGTCCGCGCCGAGTTCAAAAGACGGCAAATTGAGTCGCATTCAAAGCGGCGATCAGATCAAAAGCATTGACAGTCCCAGGAAGTTGAAGGAAAAAGCGCCGGAAATCCCCAAAGTAGAGGAAAAAGAAGCGCCGTCCAAAAATACGCTCGTCAGTTCTCCAGCGGCGGCGAAAAATATTGAAGCGCAAACGCCAAAAATTAAAGTAACCACTCCGATTAAGGAAGTAACAAAAACCGTTGAGGTTAAAAAGGAAAAGTCTCCCGAGGCCCCAAAAGCTGTTAAATGTAAAGAAATTCCCAAATTAGAACCAGTAAGGCTGAAACAAGAAGAAAAATCTCTTGATATTCCCAAAAGCAAAGTCACAGAGCCGACTGAAAAAATTTCAAAAGCGGTGGAAGTTCCCAAAGTGGAAGATAAGGCGCCCGAAAAAGCACCAAGGCTAGATATTAAGAAGAAAGAGGAGAAATTACCTGAAAAAGTTCAAGAGGCTGAACAGAAAAGCCCTGAATTATTTAATGAAAAACCAAAAGATGTTATTACAAATGCGGAGAAAAGTTTTATTGCTGCAAAGATGGAAATTTCTCCTGAAAAATTAAATAACAAAATAGCTCCTGAAAGTCCAAAAATTGTCAAAAAAGTGGCCGAGCAGAGCCCGAAGAAAACAAGTAATAACATTTTAGCTGTAGCTGAGAAATTCCAGAAACCGGCTGAAACAAAGCCAGAGAAAGAGTCTGAAAAAATCCCCACCGTTAGTGAGAAAAAAGAAAAGTCGCCCGAAAAAGTGCAAGAAGCGCCAAAGGGTTTAGAAAAAGTTGATGAAAAAATTGCAGAAGTGACCCCGTTAGTTTTTAAGAAGAAAGAGAAAAGTCCTGAAAAAGTAGCACCTGCCGAGAGTCCAAAGGTAAAAGAAAAATCACCAGTGAAGCAAAAGCAACCGGACATTGAAACGAAGCAGGTAAATTCAAAACCTGTTGTAGAACTGGAATTACCGCAGAAAAAAGAGAGCTTGCCTGTCAAGCCGGTGGAGGAGAAAGAAAAGTCCCCTGAGAAGCCTCAGAGAAGTCCAAAGGAGCCAACAAGCCCCAAAGCAGCACCTACAAAAATTAAAGTCGTTCCTCAGGAACAAAAAATTGTTGAGTCACTCCCCAAGAAAGAATCAACTCCTATTAAAGTCCCAGAAACGGCAAAGCCTGTCCCTGAGACTCCGAAAAGTCCAACCGAAAAACTTGCAGCTAAAAAAGAAACTGTCCCTGCCACAAGCCCTGCTGAAAGCGCCAAAAGTGCAGTTGAAAAAGTCCCTGTTGATGCTCCGAAGAAACCTGAAAGAGCTCAAAAGGTGGCAGAGATCACAAAGATTCCAGAGCCGGTAACTCTGAAGGTTGCTGAGGTCACGAAGGTTCAAGAACCTCCGAAGAACTTCAGCCCAAAGAGCAGCCTGAAGATGTTGCAGTCGATGGCGAACAAGAAGGTTGACGACAAGGCGGACATGAGCAACATCCTGTTTGCGAAGGACAGCGTGAAGCAGAAGCCGCTGATTCTCAGGTCGCGGCCTTCGACGGTGAAGAAGCAGCCCAAGGCCAAGTTGGCGCTGGTCAAGCCTCCGCAGGTCAAAGCCTTCCCGGCGCCCGCAAAGCCCCTCTTCATGCAAGACACGTTCGCCAAGCTGCAGGAGGCCTTCAACAAGCAGCAGCAGCAGCAGCAGCAACCTGAGAGGAAGCAACCTGTGAAGCTGAAGAAGATGCGCGCCCGCACCGACCTGAGCGCCGAGCTGCTGGACAGCGCCGACGAGGAGCAGGTCAAGACCAAGGCCGAACTGCAAAAGTCGCAGTCCTCGGGGGGAATCAACCGGCAGGACAGACACACGGTCAGGAACATGAAGTTCCGACCTGACAGGGTCTCCACCGTCAGACACCAGGCCCTCAAGATGTCCGTCAAGGAGCCCAAGCAGGAAGGTCAAGAGTCTGACTCCGACTCGGACGATTCGGACACCGAGACCGAGTCGACGCTGTCTTCAGGGTCGGACACTGAGACCGAGGAAGGTCAGGCCAAGGTGGACAGGAACAGCACCAGCTCGCAGGACTCTGGCTTCGGCAGCAACCCCAACAGCCCCCAGGCCTCCACCAACTGCGGTAACAAAAAATTAAAATTATTTTCGGATGAATTGCATGAAAATTTTTACCTATTTTTTTTAAAATAAATTTACTAACCAGATTTATAACTTCAGGATATAAAATTAAATTATTAGGTAGGCGTTAAAGAAAACCCCAAGTTATTGCTTAAATCTTAGTTGCATAATTTCATAATGATTCAGATGATGCGAAAAGATGAATCATTAGCAGCGCGTTTGTCTATTTCGACAAAAGCACGAGCAGCGTATTCGGTGCTGACGCAATTATTTGGCTTTTGCCTCACTCGAACTGACAGCGGCGGCCAAAACGCTATCTTGACGCTTTTTAAGCTCGCGAGGTAAACAAACTGTATAAAAAGCAAGAGACGTATAAAATCCTATCTTTCTTTCTTTCTCTTTGACGTGTCGACGGCCTCGTAAATTTCGAAAAAGATCACAATTTAATTTATGCGCGGGGTTGAATAGTGTGCAGCGTGAACTGCCATCGCAAGTGCGAGAAGCACATGCCGAACTTGTGCGGCGTGAACCAGAAGTTGCTGGCCGAAGCCTTGTCGTCCCTCAAGAAAGGTAGGACGAACGCTGGATCAACAAAGAACGGTAAAAAGGACAAAGGAATCAATTTCAAAGCAAAGTTAGGCTTTCCGCTCGACGCCACTGCCCTGCCGGTTGCATAACTAACAAATATTTCGGGCGTCTAAATAAATTGCATGGAATTGGAATGAAACGAATAATTTTTTGTTTAAATTTGTTGCTTTTTATAAAAAGAAATAAATGAATTCTAAGGAAAATGGAACCTCCTACTAAATTTTTCAAATTTGATTAATAGTTTTTGTGCAAGATTTTTCTACCCTGAGATGGTTCCATCCTCTTTAATTCGAACGACTTTTTCCAATTTTGTTGAATAAACAAAGTATTTTTTCTTTTTTTTAATAAGCTGAATTTTTGGTTTTAATCTTGAGCATTGTGTTTGCAGCGCAATCGCTGGACGTGCGAGACGCGAGTTCGCCGAACCCTCGGCGGTTGTCGGCGACCCTGAGCAGCGACTCTGAGTCCGGCGAGGAAGGTCTGCGCAGGTACACGCCGCCGGCGCGCACCATTCCGCGCTTCCGCAAGTACGCGGTCGAAGACTACCAGTTCCTCAAGGTCCTCGGCAAGGGCAGCTTTGGAAAGGTACGAAAAAATTCGACCCGCGTGGGACGAAAAGACAACCCGTTGAGCACCGCGGCTATTCTCAGCGCTCACAAGAGATTTATTGTTACTTTCGGAGACGCTTTTCGTCCGCGGTGCCAATTTCTCAGCCCACCCATAACAAAAACGCATTCTCTCTCTCTCTTTCGCCTGACACAATCGGATTCCAAGTTTTAAAACTGAAAATAGCACTGAAAAAAAAATAACAAAAATTAGTATTTTTATTGTACCAAATTTTTATTAGCAAAAAAAAAAAAATGAAATCAAATAGCATTAAAATTATATTTCATTGAATAATATTATTTCCTTAGAATTTTTAACCATTTTTGATTGATGCGAAATAAAAAATGATTTGAAATTTTTTGGGCATTTTATCAGGTTTTGCTGGCCGAGTTGAAAGGAACCGAGTGTTATTACGCGGTCAAGTGCCTGAAGAAGGACGTGGTGTTGGAGGACGACGACGTCGAGTGCACCCTGATCGAGCGCAAGGTGCTGGCCCTGGGCACCAAGCACCCCTACCTGTGCCACCTTTTCTGCACCTTCCAGACTGAGGTTCGAATTTTCCCTCTTTTTCCCTCCAAAAATTGATTTCTGATTGTGCAAATTGTGCAGTCGCACCTGTTTTTCGTGATGGAGTACCTGAACGGCGGCGACCTGATGTTCCACATCCAGCAGAGCGGCCGCTTTGAGCAGCCGCGCGCCTGCTTTTACGCCGCCGAAATCGTCTCCGGACTCCGATTCCTCCACAAAAAGGGAATCGTCTACAGGTAACAGAAAAAACTTTAATTTTTTCAATTAAATTCCTAAAGATTGTAACAAATAAAAACGATAAAGTATTTTTGGTTAAAATAATACAAAATTTTTTATTTATAGAAAATACTTTTGGCCATTTCTGAGAAAGTTAATTTATGAATTAATTCACGAAATTTAATTAAAATTAATAATTATTAATTAATTTTGGTTAACAGGGACCTGAAGCTGGACAACATTTTGCTGGACTTTGAAGGGCACGTTCGAATCGCCGACTTCGGCATGTGCAAGTTGCAAATTTACCTGGACCGGACGGCGGACACGTTCTGCGGGACGCCCGACTACATGGCGCCCGAGATCATCAAAGGGCTGCACTACAACCAGTGCGTCGACTGGTGGTCGTTCGGCGTCTTGTTGTTCGAGATGCTGGTGGGCCAGTCGCCCTTCAACGGCTGCGACGAGGACGACCTCTTCTGGTCCGTCTGCAACGAGCAGCCCTACTACCCGCGCTACCTCTCCAAGGAGGCCCAGGCCATCCTCGTCCTGGTACGCACATTTTTTTGGAAACGCAATTTTTTATATAATTTTTATATTTTGTATTCACGCAGTTGCTGGAAAAAGACTCGTCGAAGCGGTTGGGCACCCCCGAGTGTCCGGCGGGCGAAGTCTTCGAACAGCCCTTTTTCCGCTCCATCGACTGGCAAGCCCTGGAGCGCAAGGAACTCGATCCACCCTTCAAACCCAGAGTGGTAAGAATCATGATGAGTTGGACCCAGAAAAGTTATGGCGCCTCCAATTCATTTGGCTTTCTGAAAGTTTAAAAATTATGGTTGTCGCACCTGTTCACCAATTGTTTCATGAGAAACTCAGAATTTGCGTTTTTTCTCCTTGTTTGAGATAGAAATTCTGAAAATAGCCGTGACGCCTGACAACTTTTCAATTTACCAGGTGACGTTCAAATTATTATTTCAGTGAAATTTTGAATCAAAGGCATTCTTTCCACATTGATATCTCAAAACAAAACAATTTAAAACTTGAATGTTCAATTCTTTGGAAAAGTTTTGGGAATTTTTAAGCTTTACTTGGGACACAAACTATGTTATTTTCAGAAAGTCAAATTTTTCAACGTTTGCCATTTTTCTTTGTCCTTGTGAACAATTAAGATTTTTAAACTAATTTTCCAATTTTAAAGCAACACTCGCTGGATGTGCAATACTTTGACTCGGCGTTCACGCAGGAGGTGCCCAAGCTGACGCCCGTGGACAAGGACATTCTCAACTCGATGGACCAGACGCAGTTCCACGGATTCAGCTACACCAACCCCAATGCCTGCAACGAGTGACAAACACCCCACCGAGCCACTCGTGGTCAGTTTTCTATTTTCAGCTTCAAATCTAAAAATGACCATTTTTTTTCAAAAAAAAAAAAAAAATTAATTAATCTAATTTTTATACAATCAATAATTTGTTTTGTATTTGAATCAATGAATTTTTATAAATTCATTCTCAATTTTAATCTTAAATTTAAATCTTTTCATGAATGAGATGTTTTTTTTTTTCAATATTTAATTTTTTTTAAATTTTCGCAGCTGCTTGCATTTTGTCTGCCTTGGCGAGAGGTTTGCCGATGGAAGTCGGGAGCAGGAAAGAAGCGGCCTCGGCCAGATGATTTGTGTTGGGCTGCGAGTTCGAATGAAAGAGACATTCAGTGGCGAATATGAACTCGCGCCCCTTTTGTTGCTGCTTGATTGAAAAATAATATAAATTATATACACGATTTTCGCCAAAATATAGAGAAAAAAAACAACCATTCACGTCTTGCTACTTTTTCACTCTGCTTTTCTACTGTGTATAAAATTATCCAGATTAATATATATGTACACTTTTTTTCTGTAAAACACACATGCAAGTTTTTAATAATATAATCATTACTGTATTTGTTGTGATACGCGCGCGCCTAACAATATTATATATTTAAAATTGGTAGGATGAAATATCATTTTGAAATGGCAATCTGTGCCTGTAAAATTAGAACAGCTTGATGTTCTGATCCGCCGGCCGAAATAAATAAAAAACTAATTTTTAAGGTTTAAAGATATATTATTATTATTATTAATTTAATAAATTTGAATTGCTCAAAGGCAAAACTACAAAAACGCACACATTTTATTTTATTTCAACAGCACTTCTAGATTAAATTTTAAGTCTCGTTTAAAAAGTATAAATGGCTTTTCTATACAACTATTTACAAAAGGAAAACGATTGCGTTGTTGGCTATCACAGTGTTCAATTGTAAAAATTAAAAGCACAACAAAATAATAATAATAATAACATATATTGCAAATTAATTCAGCAGATCTCTAGCTAATCTAGATTGATTCAACTCACGCCCGCCAATTTGAAAAATATCTCCAAACCTCAGGGACCTTCAAGAAAATTAAGACTCGTCTGACTTGGTCGCTCAGACACAAGTTAAAAATATAATTTTAGCAATAATGGTCTTTAGAAAATTCCTTTAATTGCCATTATTTTATTCAACTCTATTTGGCAATTTTGGTCCCTTAATTCTGTGGATTAATAATTTATCCTTCTGGTGAAATCGGCGTGCTTTGGAATCAAAATCACAAACAAATGGCAAAATGAGAGCGACGACGAGGAGGTGCAGCCTTATCTCGAGACATTGAATATTTGTGTGTGTGTGTAAATTTTAGAAAACGTTGAGTTGCTGAACACGCTGTTTGTTTGCTTTGTCAGTCGTAAATGGCGTTGATGAACTGCTCGGCCGACTTGAGGAAGAGGCGCCGCACCTTGCCGCAGTTGGTGTCCGACGTCTCCTCCAGGTAGTGCCGCAGGGGCAGCAGCAGGTTGCGGTACGGGTCAGTGCCCAGTTGGTACTGAAGAAGCAAATTTCAAAATCAGTTCGATAAAAACTTCACGTCTTTTACCTCCTCCATGGCGCGGTAGACGGCGTGGAAGGCCGGCTGCTTTTCCGAGTGGAAACTGCCGCGGTTTCCGTGAACAACGGCCACGCCCTCTTTGTCAGCACTTTCGCACACACTCATGTACATGCAGTGGTCCGGACGGAAGTTGTAGCGGCACGGGTAGACGTACAGTTTGTCTGAAATTGATAAAATTAAAATAACATCAACTCTGAATAATACCATTTAATAAGATTCTTGCAGAATTTAATTAATTTCTTCCTTATGGGGATTTTTTCAATACTTTTCATGGAATGTCATAATTCAAAATTTTAGGATTTTCGATTGATTTGTGTTTGGATATTTGGGTACCAGGGTGGAAGTGGAACAGAATGTTAATGATGTCCTGGTCGCCCCAGGTGATCTTGAGTTTGTACTCTTGGTAAATGGGCATCACATAGTCGATCCAGCCAAAGTTCCTCATTCGAGTCAGATTCATCAACATCACGCCAGAGTTCACACCCAGAGGGCCGTAGTACGGGTGTCTCGCGAAACGGTTGTACCTGCACAAGAAGAAGAATTTAAAACACATAATCAACAACAATCTTTCTTCAATTAAAATAAAAAATATCAAAAGTGGTAATTTTTTAGAGAAAATCAATAAACTAAGAAATTTTTTAATTTAGTTTTTTGATTCTTGAACTCTAGAAATTACTCGAATTTATAATTTTGTTAAAATATTTGTCCATCAAAATAAGAAATGCAATTTTTTATTTTTTAAAAAAAAGTGACAAGTTTTGTACCATCCAGTGGCCCTGTCCTCATGTTCGGGCGTCAGGGCTGCCATTTGTGACGAGTTGAAGTGGTGCAGGTGCTGCCAGATGCGCTCGAGTGGCGTGAGGAAGAGGGTGTCCGTGTCGACGTAGAGCAGCGCGTCCAGGTCTTGGAGCAGGTTGGGCAGGAAGAGGCGCTGCGAGGCGCAGGGTTTGAAGAGGCGGCGCCACTCCTCCTGCCGCTCCCTCGGCAGCTCGATGGGCCGCACCTCGAAGCGGAACCGCAGCTCCTTGACCCCGCTCCACTCCTTCAACTGAAATTCAAACAATCGTTTCATTTTCATTTCAAAATTTGTAAGTTTTAAACTTTTTCTGTGAAGCTCTGGCCGAGTTGTTCCTCGGCGAAGACGATGAAGCGCAGCGGCGCCTGAGTGAAGGTCAGAGCAGACTTGAGCATCACCAGCGTCTCCTGCAGACGGTCGCCGCACGCGACCACCGCGAGCACCACTTCCTCCTCCTCCGCCTTGCGTCCATAATCTCGGACGGACGACCTTCGAGAGAGACAAATAAATTCATTTTAAGAAATTGATTTGTTTGGCATCACCTTTGGACCGGTCGAGGGGCCGCTGCTTTCGTGGTGGTGTCCGAGGCGTCCGGAGGAGGAGCGTCCGATTCGTGCAGCACGTACAGGACGTAGGCTGCGGCGGCGGCGAACAGCAGCAGCAGCACGGTCGTCCTTACCGCCAACTTCATCGCTGCTCGCATCGCCTCCTCCGCGGGACACCCGCCACCACCATCTTCGGACGCTCACTGTCCGAACGTCCGAACCCTGCTATCGTTTCGTACAAAAACTATGGACAAAACCAGGCTTTTAATCTTTGTTGACGTTCCAAAAAGTAAACATCATTTTTGTCCGCCTCAAAAAATTTGGTGAACTGGGTGGGGTGTTTGTTAAGGAGTTGGGATAGAGTTGCTGAAGTTTGCAATTTTTCTCAGGAATTCAAGTTAGGGAGAATAAAAAGATTTTAATATTTTTATAATGAGTACAACTTTATCAAGATCTATGCATTTAAAGTGATAAGTAGCCACATTTGTACACTTATTGTCAATATATCGTAACTCCTTTGTTAGATCGCCTTTCAGATCAATCGGTTGTTGTTTATCCAGATGGCAGCAGCGGCGTTTCGGGCGTTCAAAGCTTTTCTTGTTTATGTATTTTGGTTTGACGTTTGACATTGGCGAATTTTGGCGACACATGTGAGAAAAAACAGGCGCCGGAGCTTTAATTTGTATGATCACGATCTTGCTTTTCCCAAGGGCGGTTCGCACACCCTTTCATCAGGTCACGATGACCCTAGTTTAATTTAAAACGGGCCGGACTTTTTCCGCTTGTTTGATCTCGACCTTCAAAGAGCACCGAACGCACCATGATCTTTTCGTTGTAAATCGCACCGTAAGGAACACGACGAATGAACAAATCAATAATTAATTTACTCCTTAAGATTCACTAAAATCCTCTCTATATTTTAGTTGAATTTCGAGCCATGTCTTCCCAGGAGCAGAAGGCGGCGGCGGACCTGATGGACTATCTGGACCAAAAGACGACGGAGGAGACAAGCAAAGTGGAGACTGCGAACGGCGGCGGAGGAGAATCGCTGATGGACGGAAAGGGACTGCGGCTGAACAGCCACGACGAGCGAATGCACACGATGCGGGAGCGCGCGTCGCACAACAACCGATTCTACGAGTTCTGCTGGCACGTCGGAAACTGCCTCGAGTGCTGTCTCATGTGCATGATCTGTTGTTGTGATCGATCAGAGTGAATGACCTCGTCATGTGCCAATCCAGTAGACACCTAGGTCGGCCAGCGAAAAGTGCCAATTTTCTATTATTGCATACGTGAGATTGATTTTTGAACAAGGATAATTTATTTCAGTGTAGTTTTACAATTAGTGGCGAATGTAGCCAAATTTTGCTCTCTGAAAGTTGCATTTCATAAATTAAATGGATTAAAAGTTGGTTGATGTGAAATGTCAAATAATGTAAAAATAATGAAAATAATATTCAATTTTTTTTTTTTTAAATTTATTAAAGGTTTGCTGAAGACGTGCCAAAATCGTGCTATTTAAATTTGCATATTTGTGCAGAAGATAAAATCTTCTGTTACTCTCCTTGCGGGCTGAATTCAAATTATAGGGGCCTTCGCAAAAGTGAATTTCTAATTATTGACGTCACTACCTGATGACTCGCCTTTAATCGTTTTCCTCCTCGAGCGTGTAATTAATTAAAAATTTCAAATTAATTAAAATGCTTGTTTGAAGTTTCAAGTTGGGCCTAATTGGAGAGTGACAATGTTTTCGTGACTCACACACGCCGCTGGAGTCGATTATTTCGCCAGTCTGGCCGGCAGCGCGATTGAAAAGCATGCTCGGTGACGTCACCGCGGCTGGAAACGGGCGACGGGATTTGCTTCTTTCTTTGCTTGGCCGCAGAGAGCGCTGCTCCCTCCGGCCACCGATCGCACAAGAAGAAGTTTATTCTGGGGCCGAAGCGCTCAGTCTGCAGTCTGGTCCGGCGACGCTGCGTCCACGAGGTCCCATCTCTGAACACAAACTTCATTCCTGCCTCCCGCAGCCCAATCACTTCAGCAGACGTGAGTTTACCTTATCATTTTCTTTTTTACTTAAAAATTCGATTAAAATTCGATTTTATTCCTTTTTTCCTCAATATGTTGACATGAATTCGTGAGTAAAGGAAGCGTTTATTTCGAAACGTGATAAAATTATGAAAATAATGTACGGCTGCCTTCAGATGGAAGAATTGTTTTTGTTCAACACTTGTGAGCGCTCAGAAAATTGTTTTTCTTGATTATTTTGATAACTTTAAAGAGAGCTCAGAGCTGTTTTCCTCATCTTGATTGTTGACTCGAGTTTAAGGGAATTTAATTTTGAGGACAAACTATTAAATATTCCTAATTTTTATTTATAATTTTTGTTACTTGGCGGAAAAAGAGCAGGCGAGATTAGTTACGCTGTTGGCGGATCGTTTTACAGCGAGACCAAGGTTGAAATTTCGCACGAGGAGAAGCAAAACAAAAAAATATAGAACATTAAGGGCAGCCCTCGGCGCAAAAGCAACATCTGGAAAGTTCACTCCGCTCTGCCGCCGCACTTTTGCACAACACGCGCTGCAAATTGATGAATCTATCTTTTCAAAAAAGGAAGTGGAAATTTATCAGAAACGGAAGAAGCGTGCGGCTGCTGCGAAGCAATCTTTTCGTTCAAAGCAGTGATTTCAACACTTTCCATCCTACGACGTTTTTCATTTGATGACTTTTTTATTTAAAAGAATTGAAACGCGGATGTGCTCTCCAGGGATCCTCTCAGGTCTGGCAAAGGACAAATATTTGCAATTAACAATATAAAGAGGTTCTTTGTGAGCTTTTACTGCGGCGCTCGGCACATCCGCTCCTATTTCAACTTCTCCAGCGAGTGTGTAATAACAAAACAATTTGCTGCTCTTTTCCAAACACGCCCTGCATTACATTATTTCCATGTTGCATTATATCGAGCTTGTTATTTTTCTCCCGCGATTTCTCAGAATCCTAATGAGGACTTTAATTGTCTTCGCAATTAGCAAAGCGGTTTTCTTGTCTCAATTTGCAATCATTTTTGTGTCTAGAGTTGAAAAAAGAAAATTCGTTTTGATTAATGATTTGTGCAGATAAAAGAAGTTGTTCGCCCACCGTGTAATGGAATGAGTGACGTGCCGAGTAATTATTATTACAAAGTAATTTCAGGGTGTTGCCTCCTCATCTCTTATTCAAGTTGTATAAAGATTAAAGACTTCTGCTCTCGCTCCTTAAATGTAAAACTTTGTAATTCGACGCAACCCTCGTTATTAAAATGACATTAATCTTTGATCTATTTGAACTTTTGTTCTCCGATTGAAAATTTTCCCAATCGATTTGTCCAGGGATTGGATTTATATATTTCCAATTATGGAGAAAAGCCGGTGTTGAGAGATTCTGCTTTCTCTCCAACAAGTGCGTGAATTGCTGGGAAAGCAAACTCGCTTTTTATTGCATAATAAATCGCGCTGCGTTTGTTATTTGTTTCAAAACAATTTGTTTCTCTAACCCCTGAGATAATTTTTTAAAGCGGGCCAAGTTAATTATTAGTCCAGAGCAAATTATTTGTGTTATACTTAAAATAAATTATAATCTTGAACAATTGATCGATAAAAATCATAAATTTATTCTTTCTTTTACTCATTAAAAAGACAAATCCGAATTTTACCCTGGTTTTGCAAATGTAGAAAAAAAGAACCTGTGTTTTTAAGCCCCATAACTATGCATAGGGAGTTTCCATTATCCTGGCAAAGATTAAAATTCCAAAAGACTTAAAAGATCTGAAAAATTTGTTAAAATAAATTTGCGAGTTTTTTTTCCATGAGCCATTTTTTACCTTATTTCAAATTCTCTTATTGTAACAGTTGGAAAAGGATTGTTGAAATCGAATGATTATTATTATTATATATTCAGAATTTTAATAACAGACGGTTTAAGCTAATTTGACATTATTTGTAAAATTCATTATGAAACTGTAATTTTTATATTTGACTTAAAAATTTTTATTTTGGTTTCTTTTTCTACATTGTTTCAATTCAATTGTTGAAAAAGGAACACATCCATATTATAATTAGTAAAAGCGTTTTATTTTAAATTAATTAATTAATTAAATTATAAAAAAATCAAAGAAATGGAATAATTCGAAGAACCTCAGCAACTTTTGGTGGCATAGAAAGACCCCTTGTTGATCAATAATGTGAATCACAGGCCAATAAATTATCAAGACCCCCAAACTGCCTCTCCATGCTTTTGTTAGTTTACCCGCGAAACGGAGACAGAAACCAGTTGCCGAACAGAAACGAGCAAATTATTATTTCAGACCGAAGAGATGAGCACAAATCTATCTTCAATCCCTTCAGCCTTTTCCCAACATCAGAGATTCGCAGCTTTTTTTCCTTGCTGAGAGAGCAAATGGGGAAACAGATCAAAGCAGTTGCAGTAATTTTTATTTTTGGCCTCATCAATTTCATAATTAAATTTAGTACTTAATTTAAAATTTAAATTAATTTAATGATGAAATAATAATTAATGTTGGAAATAAATAAATAAAAATGCAACAAATAAAATCAGCTCTAAACAAATAAAAATTGGAAAATAATTTTGTGTTTTAAAATTAACTAAATTTTCTTTGTGTTTTTTTTATAGCTGGGTGGCGGGAGCGGCGTGTGCGGCGGCAAGATGCGGCTGGCGGACCCCGAAATGGGGGGCCAGGCCCCGTGGGCGTCGCTGCTGAAGCCCCTGGCCGAGGAGCGCGCCCTGGAGCCAGCGCCGCCCCCCGCCGAGCAGCCCCCCGCCGTCGGCAGGGGGCAGGCCAAGCCCCCCATGCGGCGCCGCCACACCCTCGGCGAGACCTTCAACGCCACCCTCTCGCCCCTGCTCAACCCCCTCATGCACTACGACCAGGTCGACGCCAACGCCAAGGTCGTCGCCCCGCAGAACTCCTCGCCCTTCAGGTACTTTCTTTCGATTCTCGTTTATTTCTTAATTAAAACTTGGATAAAAACAGTTTTTTCCCCCATTATTTTTTATTCTGAATGCAGATGTTTAGACCAAAAAGAAACAAAATCGCAGGTATTTTTAGATATGTAAAAAATAGTACAAAAATTTCTGTACTTTCGTATTTTAGTTCTGGAAGTTTTTATGTAATCCGATTTTTCTTACAAAAAGCAAAATCGTACACCCCATGCAACTTTCGGTTTCCGCGCTGCCAGATCGGGTGTGTGTTATTTTTTTTTCACTCTTTTTTTCGCAACTGGCGTCTCGAATTTCACGCTCATCTCTCGTTACCCTCGAACCGAGAAACAAAGTCTGCTGCACGAATTAACGGAAAGGAAATTCAGACGCACGACTTGTCAATCAAACTCGTGTTATTTTCACCTTGGCCGCCACTTTTGCGGTTCAAAATTTAAATAAAAATTCAAATCAACGTATCAGAGACATGAGAAGATTGAATTCCTGGTTTGGTTTGAATGAAATGCGCACCCTTGTCAGATTTAATTACTGACAGCGAAAAATAAAATAACGCAATCTCGTGGTTTTATATTTACTTTGTAATTGCGGCGCGGCGGTGAATTGAAAGAGCATAAATTCCAATTAAGATGCCATAAGATGCAGATCGGTTTCAAGAAAAGAGTGGCCGTGACGATCGCTGCGATCATGTTCGTTGCTCTTTATTGCAAAATTGGATCGAATCGAACCGTTCTCGAGCCGACATTTCAACTTCCAAGGTGCACCAGGTGGAAATAATTGAGTTGTGCTGTGAACGCGTCATTGTCCGAGAGGGAAAAACAACCTATGCGCGCGTCATGGATTCGCCAAATCAGGCTGAAAATGCAGCGCGTTGTCTTATTAATTGTGATGCTCTCGGCGGAACGATGCCTTGAGCCAATTCAATCTCTTTCATCACCAATCTAAATTTAGCCCCTTTGTATCGAGTTTTTGGCAGGGGCAGTTTTGCATTTGTAAACAAAGTGGTGCGCATTTTACGAAAACAAATCATCCAATTTAATTGTTTCTATGGAAAATAATCGAAATATTCAACAATTCCTAACAAATCTTGAATGTTTCGGGTTTTTTCAAGGAGATTTTTACACGAGCAAGAGATTGAATTCCAAATTAGTAATATGAGGAAAAAATTTAATGAAATTAAAAAAAAAAATGCTAGTTCTGAAAATTATCCAATCTTTCAAAAATTCAACTTGCAATTTTTCAAACATCTTTGGTTGGTTTTTAATTCTTCACTAAATTTAAACTGTGTATTTATGCAAAATGTGAGCCAAGTGTTTTCACAAAACAGCGCATTAGACGTTTCTGCACTAAAAAGTGTGGCCGGCAGCAACAGCAGATTTATTATCTTCTAAACTGTTGCAAACAAAATCGGGGGCAGCAGAGATTTCCATCGAAACGAAGACAAGGTCAGGATTTTTTGAGTGCAGCCAGGCCCGCGATAACATCTCTGCTGTGTCGGTTCAAAAGTCAGAATACATAATTGGGAATGAAATAAAAATGTATAAATGGCTGCGGCAATTAAAGAGGAATTCCCCAGAGTAGCGAGCGCGGCGCTGCAATTGTTTCGCGTTTTCTCTCGGACTGAATTGCCAGCGGCGACTCGCGCACCTGTGCAGCCTCTCAGCACAGCTTTTTGCTCTCAAACAAAATTATGCAAATCAGCCGATTCGGATCAGCACAAATATAACGTGTGCATAATTTATGGTCCAACCGACACGGCATGACATGTTGAAATTTTGCACAACGCGCATGAATATAATTATGAAAGATCAAATAAGATCACATAATAATTTTCTTTTTGAAAGCGGAAAAAGTAAAATGACGAAAACAAAGAATTTCAACCCTTAACAAGAATTTCATGGCATCTTTGAAATTGAAACTTTTGAGCCTTCTGTATTAAGATCAATTTAAATTTGTGATGTCGACTGACCTATTGATTTTATTTCCCATCTAAATTTGGTGAAATTTTTATCAATTTTGGTCGGGCCAATTTTGAGAAAATTCTCATCAGAAAAAAAAATTAGTTTTCAAAAATTTAGGCCTCCCAATGAATCAAATTTCTCCTTGGAAATGAATTCTTCAAACCAATGATAAAGAAGGGAAAAATTATCATGTAAAATTTTCAATATCTCCATTAAAATTTTTAGAATCATTCAAATAAATATCACGAAAGAGAAATTTCGAAAGATTCTTTGGCGCCGAAATTGAGAATTGATACAGAAAGGGTCCTTGAGCTGAATGTAATGAGACGAAAATGACTCGGCAAGAAAGGCGCGAGTAATTAGAATATCATCAACAAGGCCTGAGCTGCAGGTTGCATAATCCAAGTGTCAATTACCGCAAAACAACTCCACGTTTCAATAATTAATCTGCATAAAAAACACGATGAACGACGAGATTTGCCAACAATCAGGAAAAAAAAATCAAGATTATGCAAATGAGGATCTGCTGACAAAAAAGCAAAAATTATGGCGCCCGCATCTCTCTTTTGATTTAATTCCATCTCAGATGAAATCTCAACTTTTCGCTGGTTGGTCGTCGCGCCGTAAAATTTAGATGTATTAAATCTCAAGTGCTGATCCCGCATCTGATCTCTAATTACAAAAGTCATGAAATTGCTCTCCTTACTTTGGTCTCGTAGAATTTATTTTTAAGCAGATTTGTTCTGCCGATTTTTTGTTTTCAATTCCTTTTCCGACTAAGAAGCTCGTTTGCTCTTCCCACAGAGCCCAATTATAAATAATTCTCAGGCTCTATCGTTTTTTGCGGACACTTTTCTAAGCTCTGAGGTGATTTAGAGCCTCGTTAGGTCGCGCAAACTGATTTGCATAATTCTAATGGTCGAAAATAACAGCAGGAAGAATAAAAAGAAAGATTGCCACATTCTTGTTTTCGTCCCAAACCAGCAGAAACCTGCACAATTTGAATGTTTATCATCGCAGAGAGTGGTCTTGACCCGTGACCTTTTATCAGATAAACAACAAACTGACACTCTTGAGAAAAGAAAATGTGCGGTTCATAAATAAATCGGAATTAAATGCGTGAAAATAGGATTATTTATAAAAATACTGTATTACGAATTTCCTTAAATATCTTTTACGTTATTCATATTTTTGGATTTTAATTGCCTTGAGTAGTAATAAAATTTACATGATTTATTACATTTATTTAGGAAATTCAAATCAAATAAGAGTAACTTGAAACAAAATCCATTGTTCATCATTTTAATTTGCTTTGAACAATTAAACCTTTAAATAATATTAAATTTTTTTATTTGAATCATTATTATTTCAGCCTTATTGAAATTATCATTGATTTTCGTTAATTTTTTGTTTAAAGACGGCTTTCGAGGTTCAGCCAGCGTCGTTTTCGGCGGCGGGTGGTGTTCAAGGGCGGCGACTGCAACGTGACGCAGTCGAACGTGGCCAAGCGGCGTCGGCGCTACCTGCAGGACATCTTCACGACGCTGGTGGACGCGCAGTGGCGCTGGACGCTGCTCGTGTTCGCGCTCAACTTCCTGCTGTCGTGGCTCGGCTTCGCCGTCCTCTGGTTCCTCGTCGCCTACTCGCACGGCGACCTCGCCTCCTCGCCGGACAACAACGCCACCTGCGTCACCAACCTCAACACCTTCACCGCCGCCTTCCTCTTCAGCGTCGAGACCCAACACACCATCGGCTACGGATCCAGGTAAAGACGCAAAAATATAACAAATATCATTTCTCGTCTTATCCACTTTATAATTATAAATTTTTTGAGAACTATTTGGAATTTTGATGAGATCTTGAAATTTTTCAAGAATCCAGCGAAAAAATGCAGTCAAACAATTTTTCAGTCCAAAAAGAAACATTAAATTTAAGCTTTTTATCTTCTAATTTCAACTAGATTTCCAGAATTTTGGTGGAAATGATGAAATCATTTTACATCTTTCTGCATTTAATTATGATAATTTGGTTGTATTTCTAGTGATATCTAGAAAATTGTTCTATTGATCGAAGTTTATTGCGCTAAATATATTTAAAATTGACTATTTTGGTAATCACATTAAATTTGTGCAAAAATTATTAAATTTTAGAAAAGTATTAGTTCAATTGATGTCAAATAATAAAAAACACCAAGTAAATTAAATAGTAAAGTCACCAGTTAAAACATTTATTTGAATTTTATATAATGAAAAATGGAGCTTTCTGACGGATTTTAGTGAAATTTGTGTATTTAATAGATTAATTATTTTGAATCTTAAAGCTGTTTTCATAATTTCTCTAAATTTTGTCCACGTGGTAACCATCTAGGATCAGGTTGAAAATTTATTAAACAAGTGCCACGTCCACTTAAACCACGCCTCCTGTTAACGTTCTGCAAACACACTTCTTGTTTTACGACTTAATAATGTGATTACAGGTTCACATAAAAAGTTGCCCCGAGAGTACTTGAAAGAGCAGCGCAAAAACTGGTCCCATTTTCTCTCCTACGTTTAAAGACGATTTCAACAGTTCAGGAACGCAAAATTATCATTTGGAACTTGTGAATCATTTTTGATTGGTGATCAACGTGTAAATTTTTGAGAAAATCGTATTTCAGATCAATTATGGTTTGCTTACGGAAAATTTAAAAAGAAAAATCGTTATAATCGCATTTCAAGTAAATGACAATTGCTTCGGCTAAGTTTGTGACCCACCAGCATGTTCCTTGATAACCCTGCTACAAATATGGCACCAGAAAATTGGGATTTAACGCGTAAAGTTTTGAAAAAAAGAAAAAAAAAATCGAATTGAAGGTTGAAAAACGACGTTTTTTGCATTTTTCAGGTTTCCGAGACAAGTGTAAGCAAATTTTTGAACACTTTGATTTGTTTGATTTATAAAATCAAATATTATGATTCTTAATATTTGTTCTACAATACCCTGATAATGAGAACATTTCATATTTTTCAAAATCCAATATGGCCGTCTGAGATACACATGGGTTTACTAAAACTTAATGGGCGGCAATGTCCTAGGTCAAAGGTCATTGACCCTGGCAAAAGGTCAAACTATTAAGATTTGTGCCCCCTTAAAATAGGCAACCCGTCAAAAAATCAGAAATAGCCAAAAGATGCGCCATGTCATTTTGCGTCAGTGCGTAAAATTTTCAGAATTTTTGAACAAGCATTTTTGAAAAATTAATGATTTTCAAATAATAGTGTTCGAACAAATGAAAATTGTCTCTTCGGATGAGTTAAAAATTGGCAAAATTTGCTTTTTTCATCATATTTGAAACAAATTAAGTAGGTTTTATTGTATTAAATTTATATTTCAAGGATTCAAATAAATTTGGTTGGTGTTTTTAAACGACTCAAGTTCCGCTTGATAAGTTTAATGAGATACTTTTTGTATTCTTCAAATTTGCTGTTGAACTTGAGACGATTTGCTTTGATTTTGGCAGGTACATTTCTGAGGAGTGCTGGGAGGCGATGGTGGTGATGTGCGTGCAGTGCATCGCCGGCGTGATGATCCAGGCGTTCATGGTGGGCATCGTGTTCGCCAAGTTGTCGCGGCCCAAGAAGCGGACGCAGACGCTGCTGTTCAGCCGGAACGCGGTGATTTGCCAGCGCGACGGGCAGCTGTGCCTCATCTTCAGGGTCGGCGACATGCGCAGGTCGCACATCATCGAGGCGCACGTGCGCGCGCAGCTCATCAAGCAGCGAATCACGAGCGAGGGCGAGTGCATCCAGTTCTACCAACACGAGCTGCGCGTGGGCGGCGAGGGCGCCGACGACGACCAGATCTTCTTCATCTGGCCCACCAACATCGTGCACAAGATCGACGCGTCCAGCCCCCTGTACCACATGAGCGCCGCCGACATGGTGCGCGAACGCTTCGAGCTGGTCGTCATCCTCGAGGGCGTCGTCGAGAGCACCGGCATGACCACCCAGGCCAGGTCCTCGTTCCTGCCCTCGGAGATCCTGTGGGGCCACCGCTTCCAGTCCATGGTCGACTTCAAGCCCGAGCGCGGCGAGTACGAGGTCGACTACAGCAAGTTCAACAACACCACCGAGGTCGAGACGCCGCTCTGCAGCGCCAGCGACCTCGACCAGCTCAAAAAGTGCATCAACACCAACAACAGTGAGTGCCAGGCACACCTTAAATTTAACTGCATTAATGAAATTTTGGAAATTTCACTTCTAAATTGAAAAGTTTCTTGCTTTTTTGAAGAATATTATTTTGGTCAAAATTTTACACTTTTTTTTAAATAGTTCCTTCCTAGAAAAGCACATTAAATTGTTACCAGTTTAGGAATTTAAATCTTTATTGAACTAATTAAACACGAAAGTTTCAATTTTAAGCTAAATTAAGTTCAAACTCTCGGTTTTCATTGAGAGTTGATTTTTTACTTATCTACTTTTTTGTAATCAAAAAGTATTCATTTTTAATATACTCAAATTCCTGGAATTAACTTCCAACCAATTTGCGGAAAGTATATTTTAAAAATTAATAAATTCGAATAGAAATTTCATGTGGATCTAGAAACCGCTAGAAACTGTGCAATACTTGGAAAACAAGTTAAAATTTAAAAATTTCTTTAACAAATTTGGATTTCTGTTTTGAAAAAATCCATATTAAAATTAAATATCAATACAATAAAATGACATAGTTTATGTTTTAAGTACAAAAATTAAGTTTCGGAAACAGAAATTCTAAGATAATCTTGAAAATTAATGAAAAGATAAGAGACGTATAAAATTTTGGCATTAAATATTTGTCTCAATTAATGAATTTTGACTCCATGACGAATTGGCAATTAAGCATTCAAAAAGATTATTTTAAACATTTCTGTTCTGACAAAAAGGCTGAGAAAATCTTTCTTCAAACATTTGAATTTAAGTTCAAATAAAATATCATTAATTTTGCAAATAAAAGTAGGATCTTTTCAGTTCTAATTCAGCCAAAAAATTATATGTTTATCTTTTTTTTATAATATTTCATGCAAAATTCCTTTTCGTTGTTATTTTTTTACTCGGTGAGCTTTAATTTCGCCGAATCTTGTGTGTTTTTGCAGCAATTATCGAGAAGAAAGAACGGGACCGGAAGGTGAGTCTGCCGCCGCCTCCGTCGCAGCCGCCGTCGCCGAGCCAGCACCAGGAGGAGGCGGACGAGGCCCTTGACTTGCCGGGGCCCGAGTCGCGCATCTAGCCTAACCTGCCAGGGGCAAGCAGTGATCTCTCCGTCTGGTGAGTGCTGCTGCCTGTTGTTCATTTTGCTCAACAAAGCAAAAACTAATTCTCACTTACAAGTGCAATGGAACATTTATCACGATTATGGTTTGAAACCTAAAGTCAGTTTTTATTTAATTAATTGAGCACAAATATTAAAGACCGAGAAAATGATATAATTACAATATTTAGCTAAAAAGGGCAGAATTGGAATATTTTGATTTGATACGAAAGTCTATTTTGCTGGACAAAATATGATTAAATTTGAATAAAATTTCAAATTTCTAAGAAATTAGCAATTTCAACGTGATTAATTGGCGAAATTTAGACTTGCAATTGCAGAGGAAACGCGTTTAAAGAGTGACCCAGATTTTTGGTGCAAAAGTGCTAATTTTAAAAGTGGTGCGGGTTGGAAAGGCGGCCACGCATCTGCTAATATTTTAATGAGCGCGGCCTATTAAAATCGGCGTGACCTTTTCGCTTCAATCATTGTTGATCCCCCCAGCTCGGACGATTCGCGCGTCCGAGGTGACAATCGGGTGTGAATGGGGGACAAACGACCATCCTCATTGCATTTAAAGCAGCGCCCATTAACAACACACACGAGACCTGCATCCTGCGCGCGGCCAAATTACCATCGCTTGCAGCTCCGCAGCCAGCAAGCCTCGTCTTATTCCGACGATTCAAACCGCGAAACGAGGAAATCGGCGCCGGGAAATCCGATCTTTTCTGCGGAAAACTGCGTCTCGCTTTTGTTCACCTCAACTGGAAACGCAGTAGCCAAAGAGCCGTGATAAAAATTGACACTTGACTGATCAAGGCCTCGAGTGGGAAGGCAAATTCAGACAATTTTAAAGCTATAAATAAAAGATATTAATTCGAAATATTATTAATTTTAATAAAAGTTACAATTAATTTTAATAAAAGTTACAAAAATTGCAAAGTTTAAGTTTAAAATTGAAAAAATAGCTTTATTATTAAAAAATAATCTATAAATAAAGCATCAAAATAGGTGGATCAGATCAAACTTATATAAGTGGCAATGAGGAATGAAATCTATTGTTGAACTATTCTAAATAGAAGATTTAAAATTATTTCAACTGGAGAGTACGTTCCTGAAAAGTACATAAGTTTTTTTTTTTAATTTAATGACATCTTAACCAGTTATTAAAATTTTATTCAATTTAAGGAAAGATTTGAGAAATTTAACTCATTAAATAAATAAAATAAATAAATAAATAAATTGGGAGAACTGAATTTTAAAATTTAACATTTTTTCTTACGGGAATTTTCAAAAATAATTTTTTCCTCAAAACTGATAGTGATAAATATTCGACCAAATCACGTTCATATCACTCCAATAAGATGAGAAAATGAAATCAATAGGTCTGCCGACAGCCAAAATGTACATTGATCTTTTCAGAACTTTTATAGAAATAAAAATCTTGATAAGTGAGACAATTTGAATTATTTTTGCATGCAATTCTGGCGAAATTGCATCTTAATGGTTCGATTGAGAGATTCCATCTGTGGTTTCCGCGTGAGTACCTTTTATAAAATTCTAACAGCGAAAGTGTCGCCAGCTTATTCCAAGGTCCTTCCTCGAGTGTTGCCATCGTTGAGCTGCAATTGCATTTTATTTGTTGTCCCTCTCGAGTACCGAGACAAGCATATATAATAAAAGTCAGTTTTAAAAACGAAAATCGAAGCTAATAAGAAGAGACTTATATGGCGCGTCTCGTCGGCCTTGGGATTTTGTGAAAAGAGATTATAAAAGGATGGGCTGCGCACCGAGGGCTTTTCATTGTTGCTCAATTAGGCGGCCGCGGGCGGCTCAATGACGCTGCGTGCAGTCCCAGACCCGGTTCCTCTCTCTGATAGTGCAATTAATTAATCCGGATCTAAAAAACCATTCAAGGGGATAAAACGCCCATTTCGTTTCTCTCTTTTAAATTAATTTAAATGGAGCATTCTATGGAAATTAATGGACAATCAACAAGATCTGCGTCTGTTGGACAATGTCAAGGTCAAGAGCGTGAAATTTTCGATTGACCTTTCTCTTGAAACAGATAAAAATGATGGCCTAAATCATCTAAATACCATCCAGACCACTTATCTTTTTTTTTTAATTTTAATTATTTTAAAGCAAAATCAAATCAAGAGCTTTTGTCTCCAAAATCTCGCAACAAATTTGATTTCTTTTTTTAATTTGATGGCTTAAAATGATTAATCAGCTGATTTTTACATAAAAAAATTTAAACTTGAGGCAAATTGCACTTGAATAATAATTGGAAGCCACATTGGAATTGAAGGATATTTTCAAATTATTTACAAATTTTCTTGTCGCTCGTGGCTAATGATGGACGAGATAAGTAAGTGGCTTGTGGGTCAACTCGCGAGATTTACATAAATTGTAATAATCCACTCTTGAGCTTTATCTCGTTGCACAGCACCAAGGCCGGCCATGCAGATAATAATAGTAAAGCGACGACTCGTGTTTTCTAAGCAAACAGACGCATTAATCGAAAAAGCAGATTGAATCTCGCGTTTCATATACATAAATTCCAATTTCTTTTAAAACGCACAATTAATTTCCCTTTCTCTCGCGTTCGTCGGCCTCCGCGCGGGACAACAATAATTTCTCTAAAACACCCAAAGCCATTGCTAATTGAAGGCTAATCGAGCAGTGGTGACTCATTTCCATCCATTTTCAATTAACGGCTGCAACGAGTTGTGATAGGTTATGCGACCAACCTTTTATTCTAAAGTGAGACTTGAGCATTCGAAACCTCCTCGAGGCTATAAATTTAGCTTGAAATGATTATAGGGAATTTTTGGAAAATGGAAATCATAATTTAAGATAAATCTAAGAATAAAAGTGCGGGCTATTTAAATTGATTAAATTAAATTTGAAAACTTTAAAATTGAGTCAATCTTTTTTTTCATTTTTATAAAAATTCTAAACTAAAAAAGTTCAGGAATCGGAATCATTTTTACCTGGATGAACCCTGACAACTTAAAATATGAAGTTTTTGAACTGAATTTTTTATACGTTTAAAAATTTTACATTTCTATTGAAGTTGCTTATGTGAGCTGTTGAGAGGAAATGTCTATAAATTGACACGATTCATCCTACATATCAACACCTCAGGTCATTTTGAGCCTTCTTGAGCCATGTTTGATTTCACAGGCAGAAAACCTCATTTTTCAATCTTTCCCCTTTTATAACTTTTGCCACTTTTGATTTGGAATAAAACTTTGAGCACAAAAAGTGTGCAGAATTAAATTTTCTACAAGATTTTTAAGAAATTTTTCTCTAAAATGTTTTCAAAAAAATCTAGAGCTTAAAAATCAATCAAAAAATGAAACATTGAGCAAAAAACGTTATTTTTCAGCACATCTGCATTCATGGCTTTTGCCGCTTTGGATTTAGGAGAAAATTTTTAATACAAAAAGTGTGCAGAATGAAGTTTTCTAAAAGTTTTGTATGAAACATTTTACTCTAAAATCATTTCCAAGAGAGCGGCAACTAAATAACCTATTAAAAAAAATGACAAAAAAATTGACCTATGTTCAGATAATTGCAATTTATGACGCCAAAAATTATCATATTTAAGCTACATTAATATTGTTTTAAAATCTCATGTTTGCACAGAAAATAGAAAAATTACTACAAAAATCTAAAGTACGCCACCTTTCAAAGGTTCTTTTTTTAAATAGAAAAAAGGAAAATCTCTTCAAATTGTGAAAATTTCAGACTTGTCATCATTATTTTCCAGTTTGAAATCTTTCTTAGCAGGACTAAAATAATTGTTGCTTTGCGTTATTTTGTTTCAGAATCTCAACCAGGGTCCAAAAACGCCGCCAGAGCAAGTTAAAAGACAAAAAAATCAAACCCTTCAAGTCTCTCTACAAGTATTTCCTCTTCTCTCTCTATTTTTGAAAATTGAAATTCTCTCAAGTGTGGCCGCAGCAAAACAAAGTGTTCGGAGGCAGGACAATGTTTGCGGTTGCGATGGAGCGAGGCGCAGAGGCCGCGACTGCCGCGAGTGCCCCCGCCACAAAGAGTGATAGAGGCGCGCGGCAGTGTCAGTCACAAAGCCAGGCCAGGACAGTCAGTCAGTGTCAGCGGCAGTCGGCGCTCGTGTCAGTGCGGCATGGTGGCGAAATGAAGCAGCAGCAGGACGAGGAGGCCGGCGGCCCTTTGCTCAACGCGCTCCACGCCAAGATCAGGCCGGCGGCGGCCGCCGCCGGCTCCTTCCTGGCCGCCTCCCCCCTCCCCAGGCACAACACCTTCACCAGCAATGCCTCGTCCATGCAGGCCCTCAGGTCAGTGACTCGCAATTTTCTCAAAATTTCACCAAGAAATCTCAAAATTTCTATAAAATCAAATTGTTTCCTTGGAATTCCTCGGCGCCGATTGCTTTTGTGGCGCAAATTCCAGCAGTGCAGATAAAAAGAGAGGAAGTGTGAAAAGTGATAAGCTCGGAATCGTCCCCGTCCGTCTCGCTGTTGCTAATTGCGCGAGTCGAAAAATCTCAAACGCGCTCTAACCGCCAAGGCAAACTTTTCGCATATGCGAGGCGCTCAAAAGTTGAGACAAAATATTTTATTCATTTTGGGTTTTGATGTCGCCAGTGGAGACTTTTTGCCAGTCTGAGAATGAAATCCAACCAGTTCAACTGGCTCGGCCGGATTTTTTTCTGTTAATTTTTATTGCAGCTTCTTTTTACATTTCCACGGCGCCAGCGTAATTCCAGCAGCGCAAATAAATCAACGCCCCTGACTGACTTTTTTTATTCTAATTAAGGCGCAGTTTTGAAAGAAAATCGCGCAGAAAAGCACTCGCGATCAAAGCGAGACTCGCAGCGCAAAACCAAATACAGAGAGACTCACTTGTTGCATTTGCAGGCCAATTGCTGCGCGGGCACAGGATGTGTTACACGCCAAACCAAACAGCGTGAGCGATTTTACTTATTTGTACTTTGTTTAAAAAATTTGTTATTAGTATATTTTTTTGGCATTAATTAATTGTTTGTCAATATCATTAATTAACAATTATAAAATATTTTATTATTAAAAGTAATTTATTTATTATTTTTAAACCCTCAAATATATTAAATTTTTTTTAAAGTTTAACAACTTTTTCTTAATCATTCATTTAGATTTTGTAAAGTTGAAGTTCTGTGACTTTTTTATTGTCTGATACGATTCGCAAACATATGATCCGAGAGAAATGAGAGATTTGAAATTGCGCGAAACGAACTCAGATGTCGTCCGGCGTGCTATAAAATAATTGACGCGAAATGTGACGCAACGTCGAGCTGCGGGTTTCGCGTTTTCTTGCCAGAGCAGCTGTCTCGGTAACGGTCGAGTGACGCCACTTTGTCAACCAAAACACAAAGAACGCGATTCAATCGACTGACAATTTCACTCTTCTGGATATTTTTCCGATTACGTTTCAGAATAACAACCTTAGGTACACACTTAATAATTAACTTCACCAGGCCTTAAAGGGCAAATGATTGAGCATTTTTGTTCAAATTAAATGCGTTTTCAAATTATTTTCTGTATACATTTATTTATAAAAAAAAATAGCTTACGTAATGTTTTGAACCAAAGTTAAATTAAAATGAATAGGAAATAACTCATTCAATAAAAAAAAAATTTTGAAAAAGAAAACTTTAAGATCTGAAATATCAACAATAGAAATAATTTCAAATAATTTTTTTCAATTATTTTTGTAAAATAATAATGACTTGAGTAGAATAAATAATAATAATGACGATATCAATTACATAAATTTAGATCCAACGGGATATTTTTAAACTTTAAATCTCAGTAGACAGAGCATTACAATCAACTGAAGCGTTTTTTAATTTATTAATTATAAGCTAAATATTTATAGTTAAAGTGCAAAAAGATTTATAAAAAAAATTGCCATTATAGTCATAATACCCGAGACTTATATGGGCGCTTCAAACTCTTCATCGGCCCTGAACCTTTGGGGAGGCACGCGAGGGGCGCACGTCGTGATGGTCGGGCTGGACGCTTCTGGCAAAACCACCGTCCTGTACCAGCTGAAGGAAAACCGCAAAGTGGTGACCACGCCCACGATTGGCTGCAACGTGGAGACCATCGAGGAGCCCTTTGTCGGGCTGCCCTTGACCCTGTGGGACCTGCGCGGGCTGGGGCAGGCGCGGAACTTCTACCGCACCTTCTACCTGCAAAAGGAGGCGTTCGTCTTCGTCCTGGACAGCAGCGACCTTGACAGAATCGCTGAGGTCGCCGAGGAGCTGCAACTGCTGGCGAGCGACGCCAACCTGACGAGGTTGCCCTGCCTCGTCCTTGCAAACAAACAGGATCTTCCAGGGGCCCTGACGCCCACCCAGGTAGCGCAGGCCCTGGATCTTCATCAGGTCTTCAAGGAAGAACGTCGATGGCACGTTCAGGGCTGCTGCGCCGCCGAAAACCGGGGTCTGAGACCGGGGTTTGCGTGGCTCGCCAACGAAATCCTCAAAAGACGTCAAAATCTGGAAGAAATTTATTAGTACGTCAAATTATTTTTTTCCAAATCTGTGTTGAAAATAATGTTTAAAATTTGCAGTGCTTGCAAATCTGGAAGTCGGGAAGTTTCTGCTGATTCGTCTTTGGGTCGGCCATGGAATTTGTTCTCGTTGTTTCAGCGGCAAAAGCGCGAAGCTCGAGTGCTCATGATCGGTCTGGACGGCAGCGGGAAGACCACGATCCTCTATCAGCTGAAGGAAGGTCGTCGGGTGGTGACCATGCCGACGATCGGCTTCAATCTGGAGCAAGTGGAGGTCGACGACCTTTTGCTCAGCGTGTGGGACGTGCGTGGGGGTTGCGAAAAGGCGCGGGGCTTGTGGCGCCACTATTACCGGAACACGCAGGGCCTCGTCTTGGTCGTTGACTGCAGCGCCACCGAGCGCTTCGACGAGTTGCGGGAAGTGCTCGAACTAATCAACAAAGAGGAGCTTCTCAGGAACGTGCCCGTCCTCGTCCTGGCCAACAAACAGGACTTGCCCGGCGCAGTCTCGCCACAACGGTTGGCAGACTTTGACGAGGGACTTGATTTGCGGCGAGTGTTGCAAGACCGGCGGTGGCACGTTCAGGAAACAAGTGGTTCGGACGCAAGTGGAATCCGTGTAGGATTCAGGTGGCTTGTCAGCGCCGTCAAAAGTTCCTATTTCAGAGAATAATAATTTAATAATTTAAAATTTCTTATTTATTTCATCTTTTTGTTTCTTTTGAGATCACAAGGATCATTTTAATAACCAGAAAATGATATCAATTAAACAATTAATTTTTAAATGGAAATACCTATTTGAAAAAAATCATTTTTAAATAAAATATTATAATAACAATTTTCTTAGATATTTGATAAAATTAATTTCTAATTTTTTTTTTAATTTAAATGTTTTAAGCGGAAAGAGGAAACTACAAACCACTGACATACTAAGTTGGTATTTAGGAGCTCCATAGTGACCGCTGTGAGAGGTTAATTCCGGTTAATTCTTAACCAAATTACGCGGCGGCCCAGCTGGGAATGTCTCTCGTCATCAGTTTTTTTTCTCTCCATCACGCTCGGTCGGCAGTGTTGCGAGAGCGTGTCTCGTAATTTGATCGCCGGTTGTCACGACAGCATCTCACAAGGCTGAGAAATTATCGCGTAAAACGAGCAGCGCTGCAGCGACAATTTTTCAATCAGGTCCGTCTCTCTGAAAATTGTGCTCGTGTCAATTTTTAATTCGGATTAATTTGGTTTTTATTGGCGCGGAATCCGATTCCACAAGCTCGAGTCGTAAATTTCGCTCCTAGGATTACGAGTTGTTGTTTCTCGTCGAGAGCCGCCGACAAACACAGATAAGAGAGCAAATAATCTCGAGAGACTCAAGACAAATATTTCACTTCATATTGACGAGCCTCGCATCATTTTCGTGCATTCGCAATTTGCAGATTAGGCGTGGAGAGATTAAAAGGAGTGCAAAGTGCTGAGATCTCGTCGCTGCAGCTGCCAAACAACTCTTTATTTTTAATTAAAGGGCGAGGTGAGCAAATGTTGCGGGGCCTCTTATTAGCTCAGCTTTGTCTCATTCGACACCTTTAATCAAGTTTTAATGCACTCGTTTTTTTTATATATAAATTTTCTAGAATTTGTGCGAATAAAATCTTTTAAAACTCCACTTTTGGCTTTATGGAGTCGGATTTATTTCCATTTGCAACTTGTCGCCGTTTAAAAGGCTGAGCGCAGGGAATTTCGTATTCAAAGGGTTCGATTCGCGCGGTCTCTCGGCGATTGTGCGTGGAATGTTAAATGGGCATTATAAATAAGTTGCGCATTAAACGAGGAAGCGCTGAGCAGTGTGTTTTTTTATCCTCTTTCAAATTATTAATGTGCTGAGAGTGTTCGCGGTGCCTGTTTTGCATTTTTTCGCTGATCGGCGGACGCACAAGCTGCGGGTCTAGCCCGTTAATCTTTCCTAATTAATGGAGACAGCGCGTCGTGTAGTTTCCTGCCAACGAGAACATAAAAACTGGTTGTTTCTCGGATTAATTACTTTATTTCTTTTTCATAAATCTTGATTGAAAGTGTTAATGAGGAGAACAAGTATAAATTAAATTAGGTACAATAAAAGTATTCAAATATTTATTAAATTTTTATAAATGTTTTTTTTTAATTTCTAAATAATTAAATATAAAATATTTGTAACTTAAAATTTACAAGTGTGATGGGTACTTTTAGAATTAAAATAAATAAATGAAATAAATAAATGCTCATAATTAGCTTCATTTTCTTGAAAACTTGAAAATTGTTAAAGGAAAAACATTTTTCCTCAAAAATTTTTAATTCTGACGCCAAATTTTTTGATTATAAAAATTATCCAACAGTTCAAAGTAATGTTTCTGGGATCCTGAGCTGTCGAAATCCTCTGTAATGTAATATTTCTGTTTATTTTCAATTCATTCTCAGAATGGAAATTACAAATTCAAAATTGAAAACCGAGTTGTGTGCGCGACTTATAAATAGATCGAGTGGAAGATAATATACTTGAGCGTGTATGCAAGTAGATTATGCACGAGAGCGGTCGCCGCGCATGAATTATGAAAATAACGCCTCCGCTATATTTTCCCTTGGCTTGTCATCGGAGGACGTGCGTTTGTTTATTATGCAGGCGGGACACACGGGGCGCGTGCTTTGTGTCCGCGATTGACACTGCGTCCGCCTTCTTGCCACTTGAAATAAGAAGAAAAAACTTTGCACTCTTGTTTTTAATTTGGAGCCGAAAATAGAGAGAGCTCATTAAAGTGCATCGGGAGCAGGTGCTGACGACGACGATGACGTCCGTCGCGCGCAGACCAAAGCACAAACACACGTTTGAGCAGACGAAGTGCAACAATCGGCCAAGAGCAGCGTCGGAAATAGAGTCGATCTGAACGCATAAATAGAAAAAGTGTAAAAATAAAAACGTCGAGCCAAGTGACGATGACCTCTCAAAATTTACAAAAGATTTTCTCCATTTCAAGTAAAAAATCAACTGTAAAAAGAATTTTTATATCCATTGAATGATTAAATGAATCTCGGAGATATGGAGCAGTTTCCATGGCAACCTTATCGCACTTTGCTTCCCTCTCTATATCACAAATTTTATCTTTTTCTGGAATATCATTCTATAAAGGAGTGGTGAAGGCGATAAAATTATACTGAATGTATTTTCTTTTCTAATTATTTAAAATGGTAAAATTCAATCAAGGACAAATTTATTTAATTATTTGTTTACTTGGGGAAAACCATAGGTTTCGAGCGCGTCCAACCTTCGTCCTCCGCCACCGAGAGTGGTGCTCGAAGACCTGTCCGGCGATGAAGAGTCGCGTCCGGTGTCCCTCCTGCTGTCGGACAGCGAGGACGACCTGGAGCAGGGTCAGACCTGGCCGGGTGGCAACAAACTCGAACCGCGACCTTCCATCCTGAGGCCCTGGAGCACGCCCGACCTTCCAGGGCACAGACACGACGTCTCCAGGGCGCTCACGGCGAGGCAACAGTTGCGGTACAAAACCATCACCTTTTTCAGGGTCTCATAGGCCAAAGATAAAGGGCACTATTAATTTTTTTCTCAGATTTAATTAAAACCGTCATTTTTCCTTAGTTGAAGGTCTTGACTCGGAGCATTACGGTCCTGAAAATTAAATTGTCAATGTTTCTGCAGGTAAAGGATAAAATTTTGAAGCGAGGCCATCCTTTAAATTCAATAGCCGATTATTTTGAAAGTAAAGTGGAATATTTTTTGGCGCGGCAGTCGTGGAAATTAAATAGTTGGAGAATTTGAAAATTAAGGCTAAAATTTTGGGGCGAGGCAGTCCTGGAAATTAAGTAGTTGAGGAATTTGAAAATTAAGGCTAATATTTTGGGGCGAGGCAGTCCTGGAAATTAAGTAGTTGAAGATTTTGAAAATTAAGCCTAATATTTTGCGGCGAGGCAGTCCTGGCAATTAAGTAGTTAATGAATTTGAAAATTAAGCCTCAATTTAAAAGGCGTGGCAGTCCTGAAATATGTCATTGTTTTTTTAGTCAACAAAACTAATAATAACTTCCGACCTCCCTTTAATCTCCCAAACATCCTCTCAACCCAAAACAAGCAAATCTACATAGAACTGCACGAGCTGTACAAGAAAATCTTCCCTGCAGCACGACATTAATCAATTAGACCTGTCCTAATTTAGATCTGGCTGAATGGTCACCACCAAAGCCAAAAAATACAAACAACAACAACAACAACTTCAGCAAAGATGGGTGCACCAAAAATATGTTGGTTGGTGGTGCGACAGAATTGGCAGCATCAGAAAATTATTTAAATTGAATTAATTGAACATTGGAAAACAGTTTTTCTTCATTTTTCTTGTATATCTGACAAGATCAAACTTATGTGTGAGCTCTGTGAATTAATGGACTGCAAATAAATGATAATTACATCAATGGTGAAGTTGATTAACCTGCAATTTTTTTGTGCCTTGATTGTTGATTGAAATATTGAAATGTTTTTTTGCACTGAGGGAATTTTGTGATTTCTTGGTTGTAAAATTCGTAAAATTTGCCACTTATTTTTTATTATTATTTTTTTTTTAATTTTAAAAATTATATGCAAATTTTTAGGGTGCGTCACCGGAGCGGAAGTCGGAAGCCGCGGAAGCGGGTGGTGTTCAAGAACGGCGACTGCAACGTGCTGCAGACCAACATCTCGAAGCGGCGGCTGCGCTACCTGCAGGACATCTTCACCACCCTGGTGGACGTGCAGTGGCGCTGGACGCTGCTCGTGTTCGCGCTCAGCTTCGTGCTGTCGTGGCTGGGCTTCGCGGTCATCTGGTGGCTGATCGCCTTCAGCCACGGCGACCTCGAGCCCAACCACCTGCCGGACAGCCAGGAGGAGTCCAACTGGACGCCCTGCGTCGTCAACATCTTCAACTTCGCCTCCTGCTTCCTCTTCAGCGTCGAGACTCAGCACACCATCGGCTACGGCTCAAGGTTCATCTTTCATTTCAATTATCTCAAATTTTTTCACTTATTTTATATTATATTAATTTTTTCAATCATTTCATATGTTTTACAAATATATAATAACATATACATTTTCAAATTTACTGAAGTTTTCAATAACATTTTATGTTAAATATTCCATGTTTTGAAAGTTTTAAAAAGGGTGGGTCCGAATAACGGAGAAACGATTCTCGAGGAACAATTCTCGCGCAAGGATTCTCCAGAAACGTAGCCTTTAAAATTCAACCAAAAAGAATCGTTCCTGGAGAATTCTTGCGCGAGAATCGTGTCTTGAGCATCTTTTCTCAAGAATCATTTTGAGAATCGTTTCTCTGAAACCAGAATTTAAATATTTTTCAAAGTTTGACTTATCTTTTTTTTATTCTGAACCAAAATGAATGAAATTGATGTTGGACAGGTCGACGACCGAGGAGTGTCCGGAGGCGATCTTCATCATGTGCCTGCAGAGCATCACGGGCGTGATGATCCAGGCGTTCATGGTGGGCATCGTGTTCGCCAAGATGTCTCGGCCGAAGAAGCGGACGCAGACGCTGCTGTTCAGCCGCAGCGCCGTGATTTGCCAGCGGGACGGGCAGTTGTGTCTGATGTTCAGGGTCGGCGACATGCGCAAGTCGCACATCATCGGCGCCGGCATCAGGGCGCAGCTGATCCGGTCGCGGCAGACCAAGGAGGGCGAGTTGCTGGCCATGTACCAGCACGAGCTGGTGGTGGGCGCGGACAGCGACCAGAGCGACATCTTCTTCATCTGGCCCACCAACATTGTCCACAAGATCGACGCGTCCAGCCCCCTGTACCACATGAGCGCCGCCGACATGATCCGCGAACGCTTCGAGATCGTCGTCATCCTCGAGGGCTGCATCGAGAGCACCGGACAGACCACGCAGGCCCGGTCCTCGTACCTGCCCTCGGAGATCCTGTGGGGCCACCGCTTCCAGCCGCTCGTCTCCTTCAGCAAGGACCGCGGCGGCTACGAGGTCGACTACAGCCTCTTCAACAACACCTACGAGGTTGAGACGCCGCTCTGCAGCGCCAGGGACCTCGAGCACTTCAACCGCATCCAGGACGAAATCAGGCACTCAGGTATAATAATTATTATTTTTTTTTTTAAATAAAATCAAATCAAATAATTGTAAGAAAAACGCTCCATTATTTTTGAAATTGACTCTACATAAAAACTTAAAATAGATATTTTTGATTATTTTGATGAGAGGCAAGAAATCTTTTTTTCTCAACGCCGATTATTTGAACAATTTATACTGGTCCAGTCAAAATAGATCAAGAAGAGGTCTGAAAATCGTTCAGAATCCGTTTTTGTACATTTTGTAGAACATAGTTATAATTAATTTGGAATATTTAGAAAAATTGCTTTAAAACTTTTACTTAAATGGATTTTCGGCCCAGGGTAATTGTTTTACAAAAAAATGTTTTTTACAAAAGTTTTAGAAAATTTAATGTTGCACATTTATTATATTTAAAACTTTCCTCTAAATCCAACTGGAAACTCGCTAGAAAAGCAGGAATGTTAAAAAATGTGGATTTTTTCAAATTCTTGCTTTCGGGGGGAATTAAATTATTTTGCCCATAAGAATTCTCAAATTCGCCAAATCTCAAAGTGCAGCCCTTACATAATATATAGGAATCATGCAAATTTGGAGAACTCTCTCATTCAAATTTTGGGGGCAGAAGTTTATTTTCTTTTTAATTATTCCTAATTATTAATATTAACAATAATTTCATGTTCTTCATACTAAAAAAAACGTTAATAATCATCACCAGTTCCTTCATTAACTGTGGAGGAAAGTTGTTAAAATTTATAATTGAATTCCAATACTTTTGCCACGTGAATTATCATTGAGGGCGATTCAAAAGCCTAACCTGGCCCAGGCTAACTTGACTTGGTCCCGAGCTAATTTAGCCCACTAGCAAAATTGAATGGCGGGTTAAATTAGCCCGGGCCAGGTTAATTTAGCCTGGGCCAAGTTAGCCTTTTGGATCGCCCTCATTAATTTTATTTCACTTTTCTGTCCGTGCAGCTGAGATATCAGTTCGAGACATGGCGAACAGTCTGGTGCCCTTCGGAGGAGGTCTGCGGCGCGTGACGAGCGAACCTGGCGGTCAGGTGGGTCAGCAGGGCGCCCTGCAGCACGCCGGCGTCCCCCTGCTCGCCCTCGACCAGACGCCCGAGTCTCCCGATTGACAAGAAGAAATTTTCTCCAACCTCGGCCATTTTAAAATTAAAAAATAAGCGTCGTGCATCTCTCAGTATAATTATGTCAATTTTTAAGTACACACGTGCCATTTCAGTAGGAGAGTTTAATCTCAAAAGTGATATATATTTTAAATAAAAAAAAAAAAACCGTTTTGTGCCTCTAGAAGAAGGTGAGAGTGAAGAAAAAAGTGCCTTTTCCGCAGCGCAGGAGAAAAATTAAAATATATGCAAATGCAATAAAAATATGTGATGTGTTTATTTAGTTTTCAATGGGAACGGACGTGAGATATAATTTGTAGATAATTTAGTATATAAACAGGAGTGTTTGACTCTATCTCTTAATTAGTGAGACGCAAGTTAAAAAAAAAAACAGCTCAAAATTCACAACATGAAAAACGTATACATTGCATGTTGATTAATATTTTGTGTAAGAGGAAATTTGACGTTTCTTATATTTTGCAATTCAAATAAAGAGAGCAAGTACAACAGATCTGTTGAAAAAAAAACGCTACTTTCATTTCATTAGTCTAAACAACTTTGATTACAAACAAAATATAATAAACAACAAACAATTGTCATTAGTGGAATGACTCATATCAACAAGGCCAGAATAAAAAAATATTTTTTCTCACGTGTTGGCGAATTTTCAAATTTGCCATTTCTTTATTTTTTGTTCACATTATTATTTCACAATAATTTGATATTGAAATTGCACATAGAACCGTAAACTTCCGCAGTGAATGATAAAAAATAAAATTTGAACTAATTTACAGACTAAATTAGACTCAAAGGTTTTGCTCTAGCAAAATAAATAACGTATTTAGACATAAAGTCTGTTTCTCTCTGGTCACAGAAATAATGGAATGGAATTTAAGAATTTAACTGAGAAAGTCCTGCAGCTCGGCCGCCGTCAGCTGCTTGGCCGACTGCTTTTGGCCGCCTAAGAGAGGCTGCGTCAGGGAGGTCGGCGACATCACCGGCTGGCGAAAGGCGCCGTTGCTCTGAGCCATCGACGGAGGAGACGACCAGTTGTTCATGGGCGCTGACATCGGGCTTGTTGCATTCCAGACCGGCTGCAAATTAAATTTTAAATTTACATTACTACAAATCAATTTTTTTTTAACATTTAACTTTTAATTTTTATTATGAATAAAAAACAATGGGTTGGTCCGAATATCAGAGAAACGATTCTCACGCAAGGATTCTCCAGGAACGGTTCTTTAGTTGAATTTCAAAGGCAGAAACGTTCTTAGAGAATCCTTGCGCGAGAATCTTTTCTTGAGGAACGTTTTGATATTCGTTTCCATGATATTCGGACCCACTCATTATGTTTTATGACATCTAATTAAATTCATATTTTTTTTTTAATTTATCTGATTTGAAAGTACCTGCGTGGGAGTGATTTTCTGCATTGGCGTTTTTGTCGGCTGCGTGAATGACATTTGCTTGAGATTAGTCTCAAGGAATCCGTCCATCAAAGAGCTTTGCTGCTTCGGGGCCACAGGCGAGGTCACCAAGGACACCGGCTTGACCCTGATGTCCTGCTGACTGGCCAGTCTGAATGGCCAAACAAGTGAGTTGCTTCCTTAAAAAAGTACAAGAATTCCGTACCTCTGCTTGTCCTCGAGGGTGAGGGCGGCTGCTGCAGGGGAGGGGGAAGTTGCGATCGAGGGTTTCGGAGCAGGGGTGGTGGTTTCGGAGGCGGTGTTGATGCCCAGGGAGGAGAAGAACGAGTCGAGTTCTGACTGGGGTGGCGCCGCGTTGACCAGCTGGCCCGGAGGCGCCGCCAGTGGCGACGCCAGCTGCTGCTCCTTCTGCAGACCGCTGATCTGCTCGAGCTTTTCTCGCTGCTCGGACTCGACGCGCGCCGTCATCTCCTTCAGCAGACCCATCAGCATGCCGAACTGCTTCAGGGTCAGCGAGTTCTCCACGGTCAGGGGGAAGAGGAACGGAATCACCTGCGTCGCCAGCACCTCTTTGCTGATGCCCAGCTTAGGAAGCGTCATCGCCAGTTTGTAAACTCCTGAGATTAAAAATAAAAAGCGTTATTTGCACATTTTTTCTCAACTTTTTGTAAATTAAATTTTTGATTAAAATTAGAATTTCCAAAAAACTTAAAAATTTGTGTACCTAGAATTCCCATGAGGACTGCAGGCTCTCTGGAGGTGATCTTTGGCAGGAAGGGCAGCACCTGGTCGTAGACGAGCCACTTGTCCAGGTGTTCCAACAACTTGCCCAGACACACCAGGCAATTGACTCGCACCTTTGGACCAGAATTAATTTTGTGGGAAATTCTTTACTCAAGTTCTTACGGAAGTGTGAGGGGTGGTGATGCAGACCCTGAGGATTCGGGGCAGGAGGGCGTTTTTCATGGCCGGGTAGTCTATGAGGGCGGCTACGCCGGGCAAGGCGGCCAAACAGAGCTCTTGGGCCGCCTGCTGGTCCAGGGCGTCGAGCGCCCTGTGCATCACGGGCATCACGTCCGACCTCACAAACTCTGCTGGGGTCAACTTCAGCAGCAGCTCCATGCGCTGCATCAAAATCAGCAGCACCTGAAATAAATGAAATACAAATAAAATAATTTCAGTTATAAATACAATGAAAGCAATAATTGATTTTTTTAATTATTTATTTAAAATATAATTTGCAAATTCTTTCCCAAAATTGGGGTTTATTGCGGAGCTCATTTCTTTTGAGTAATTAGTAATGAATTAAGAAATCTGGAACAATGCTTTACTTTTAAATTCTCTTTTTTTCTTAATTCATTACTTTCAACTTCAACTCTAAATTGAAGTTTAAAATAAATATAATTTTAACAAATTATGTTAATAAATTTTATTTTAATAATTTATAATTTTAATTAAACTATTTTTAAGCAAACAAGTTTTCCCACCTGGACCGGTTCGACAATTTTCAAAACTGGAAGGAGCGAAGGCAAGATGAACTGGGTGAATTCCTCCTTGGTCGACTTTTCCGCAATTTGCAGCACGTTCGGCAGCACAAACGGCACCATGGTGTGGTTGACAAACTCCTTGGCCAGACACGGAATCACCCTGAAAATGATCAAAGTTTTATCTTTTTTTTCCTCCCATTTGAGAACAAAGACTGACCTCAGGAGGCAGACGCGGTGCGGCAGCTGCGGCAGAATCTGCGGAAGGCCTTTGTAGAACTGCGACTTCTGCAGGTTGTCCCACTGGAAAAGCGAGTCCAGGTAGTTCAGGGTCTTGACAGACACGTCTTGAAAGTACTCAATCTGGCGAAATTAGAATTTCAGTAAGAAATGGAACTGAATTTGAGGATTAATTTTTAGTGCCTGAGTGAACTGGTGTGCGTCAGGGCGCAGCTCAGGCTTTGTGTTGAGCAGCAACTTGACGTAGTCCCTCAGACCTTCGGGAACGCAGGCCAACTGTGCGGCATTTAGTTGTTTTAACTGGAAAAAATTGGGATTAATAATAAATTTAAATAATTTTTTGTTTTTTACTAAAAATTTAATTTAACCTTTTATGTTTGCATAAATTTTGAAAATATTAGAAAGATTGAAGGTAAAATGATTTTGAATAATTTAAAAATTATGTAAATTTCAGCTTCAGGTCTTTATGGTTTGATTTAAACTTTTTCAAAGCAACAACAATTCTGCAACCTTGTGGAGGTTCCTGGAGGCAGCCTGGGCGTCCGAGTCCCTGGCGAGGAGCGGCCTGCCCTTGTTGAAGACGGCGTAGGCGAGGCAGCCGAGGGCAAACATGTCGCAAGCGGGGCCTGCGGACAGGCTGAGGCTCAGCTCGGGCGCCGTCACGTCCGAGAAAGGGCGGCCCTCGGCAGGGAGGGACCAGTCGGGCTCGTCGACGCTCCAGGTGGGCTGCTCGGCCGCGGGCAGCGCCGCCGAGCTGAAGTCGAAGCCGGCCAACTTCCACGCGCCGGACGCGCTCACCACCACGTTCTCAGGGCACAGGTTCAGGTGCAGCAGGCGGCCCTCCTTGTTGATGAACTGCAGCGCCTCGGCCAGCTGGATCAGCCCGTACTTGACCTCGACCGGGAACAGCGCGTCCTCGGTCTTCAGCAGGTTGCCCAGGCTCTCTCGAACCGGCTCCGAAACAAACGCCAGACTGTCCCTGTTTGACAAAAAAAAATTATGATAAAATTCTGGTTTGAATTCAGGATTTCGTGCCTGGATTCCTCGAGGGCGTGCTGCACGACCAGCAGCCGAGGGTGTCTGAGTTTGGTGAGCTGCGAGACGCCGCGCCTGCAGCTGGCCAGGACGGCCTCCCTGTCCGACTTGCGGACGTACCGCTCGAGACTCTTCTTTTCCAGCACGAACACGGCCACCTCCTGCTTGGTCGACTTCTTGTGTCCCGAGTAGATCTTCCACAGCAGACCTTCAAAAAGATAGGTTAATTTTTTTTTGATCGTGACTTTTGTGTTTTTGGAACCTGGGCCGGCGCTTCCGATCAGCTTGGTCGCCTCGTACTCCCTGGTCACGGGGTTGCCGGGCAGGGCGTTGCTCAGCTGGTTCACCGTCCCGGCCACCGTGCCCGCCACCGAGTTGCAGATTTTGTTGAACACGTCCATATCGCTGCAGGTAATCAAAATAATGCAATCACCCCGCGAGACACACCTACGAGAAATTTTGTTAAAAAATTTTGGCTTTATAAGAACGGGTTTTTTACTTACCAAGGTGAAAAAATCGACTTCAATGTTTCATAAAAAATCAGTTCGAATGTTAAAATACCACATTTTTATGCAAATTTCGGAAGAAAATATGCATTTCCCATTGAGGAAAAACTCCCCAAAAATTGACCACAAGTTTTGACGTGAAACAGCTGCTTTGTGAGGGATTCGAAAGGAGTTACCATTTTGTTTGTGATTTCAAATAAAAAAATTTAATAAAAAATTAATTATAACACTTATATCAACCATTTTTTTTTATTTTATTACTTATAATTGAAAATTTCTGGTCATTCTTTTACAAAACTTTAACTATTTTACAGTTTGTATTGTTATTATTCTTGACTCCTTTCTACACACCCTACTTAGCATTGTCTAGAAGTTGGAAATGGCGCCAACAGGTGGCCAGAAAAGGCGCGAGAAAATTAGCCATGCCATTGCTTTGTGCTGGGTACTTCTTGACTGTAACTTGATTAGGGAGAAAAATCGTGATTCAGTGACATCTTAGAACACGATACATGATTCTGGCTCGCAAAATAGGAGCTCTCCATACTTCTACACAGCAGATCGTGAGTTTCTTTCTCTCTAGTTTCTCTCCCTTATCATGCATTTATTTATTTATGCAGTATAAATGTGAAATTAAGAAAAAACTTTAAGTTCAATCGAGGACAAAAATTAATCAATATGAAATGTATTTTGAACTCAAAGAAAGTAAAAAATATTTTGCTTCAGCCGAAAAAACTTACTTTAGAGGAATATGATGAACGAAATTTCCGACGGCGTGCAAGAGTTTGAGTCTGTTTTTGCCGGCGCCGCTCCTCAGGACGCGGGACAAATTGACCTCGTCCATGTCGCGTGCGTCCTGCCGCAGGTCGGTGTTCCGCGCGTCCATCCACCTCTGCCGAGGAGTGCGTCTCGACTGATGGATGCGACGAACTTATGACGACGGCAGGCTGAATGTGCTGCTCGCGCATTCCAATGAAAGAATCACCAAAATGCGCCTCCTCATCCGACAAAACGAGAGAGAGCGAACGAATCTGACAGACTGGTGCGCTTTTCCCTAAAGAGTCGCGCGCCAAGGTCATCATTTTGTCTCACTTTTGCTCAAATGTGATTGAAATAAAAAAAAAAATTACAAAGGTTGGAATATTTTCATATTTTCTTTAGAATGTATACAATTTTCTATAAATCAATATATTTTTATTATTAAAAAAAAGAATTTTTATACAGAAAATAGCAAAAATATCAAAATGCGATACTTGAAGTATCATTTTGGCACCTTACCAGTCTCATTGTAATTCATTTCGACAATAAAAGACTAAAGCTGACAAGAGATTCTGAGCATTTCAGACTTTGTCAGATTTGGTTGTCATTTTCAGTCAAACGGAATCAGTTGATCTGTTTTAAAATATTATTAAAATTTATGCAATCAGCTTCTTCACCGCAATGCAAATCTGCTCAAAAGCACTCAAAAGTGACACATGATTCTGGAGGGACTGCAGGTTACATGAAAGCCAAATTTACTAACAATAAATATTATAAAAATAAGAGGATTATAATAATTAACTCCTTACAGAAGACACTAATGTAAAATTGGTAAAATTGCAACTTCAGTCAATCCATCAGAACTTGTTAGCAATTATAAGTCTATAGCTGACAAAGGAGTACTTTTCTGATCAAACACTTTGTCACATCTTTGTTCATATTGATGATAAATGATAATTTCTTATTCTGGTTGAATATTTGTAGAGAACTTAACCACGAAGAAATGAAAACGTATGGCACAAGTAGACGAATGCAAATATTTTTCATCTTCTTCAAGTGATTAAGGCAATGTTTAGAAGAGGGAATTTTTAACAGAGAAGTGGCAGCGGACCTTTGGTGAGACATCGACCAGTGCAATGATTGGCTCGTCTGGCTTGAAGCGTTGCTGCTCCACACAGCATTTCACGGTTTCCAACTTTGGACAGTTTAAAACAATGAGCTTCAAGAAAGTGACATGCAGAGTGTAGACGTCGGGCTTAGCAAGTGCAAAACTTGAGTCAAAGTGCACAAGATTCTGCAACACCGGCTCTGAACTGTCCTTGATGGCCTCTTCAGGGATCCAGACATTCTTCAGGCAAAGGGTGTGCAGCTTTGGGGCAAACAGAAGCTTTGAAAGGTTGGCTTGGTTAAATCGCCTGTGGAGACAGCAGAGGTGCAGCTCCTCCAGCTTCAGAAGTTGCGGATCGACAGAATCTGGATTGGTCTGGAGTTCTTGAGAGAAGTCACATTCCAACTTCAGGTACAGCAGGTTGGGGCAGAGGAGGACGAGCTCAAACACGTCCGTGTATTCGCCGTAACAATCAATCAGGGTTACGTGGGTGAGTTTTGGACCAAGGCCGGACTGGCTGAAGTTCGAGTGAAGAAGGTAGTCTTCAGCAATTTCTCCGTACGTTCCGACCAGTGTGAGAGCCGAGAGATGGGGCAGTTGGCTGAGGACATGCGGAAAGGGAACGACTTCATGAAAGCGATAATTTGTATCTTCATTCAGTTGAGGATCGCTGATGATCACCTCCTTTAAATTGGGCAGGCAAGTGGGAATTCTGCAAAAGGAGACATTTTGAATGAGAGTTGAAAAACACATTTTTATATTAATTTCTTAATTACTGCTCTGCGCAGCCATCAACTGATGTGTTGAGCCGCTCCAAGCTGTAAGTCTGTCCTCGAAAGTCCAGGTGAACATTAGGATCAAAATCGTTGGCTGCAATACATAAAATAAATAAACATTTTTAGCTTCTTTCTTTTTTAATTAAGAAAATTTACTATATCTTACACTGTGCCTCCAAATTAGTGATTTCCTTGAGGTGAGGAATTAATCGGAAAGCGTCGAGAAAATTTGAATCCCTCGAGACCATTGTTCCCAAGGAGAGTTTCTCCAGGTGAGGCAAGGTAGCCACACTTTGCAGCCCTCTACTGGTCAGGGCTGAGGAATGAACCAGGGTCACACTTTTCAACTTGCGGCAGCTTTTGATCAGCCTCTCCACGTCCTCTGCAATTAAGAGGATTATTCAATTTTAAATTAATTTTAATGATTTCATCTTTTTTACCATCCTTGAATGAAATGGTGGGCATGTCGAGGTGCTCAAGGTTGGAGAATTTCTCCAGGTATTCGATGACAAAGCTGCCTGAACAGGGTGGTGGTCGGTCATGTGGTGACAAGTACATTTTGCGCCGGTCGACGATGCTCGTCATGCCCTCGGGGGTTTCCGCAAGAAATTTCAAAATTTGCAAATCCAATCCTCGAGGATCAAAAAAGAACTTGTCCCCACCACAGAGGGTGAAGTCGAACTTTAACAAGGTGGGGTTGATCAGCTGCTTAATCAAAATCAGAGGAATGGCAACCTTTGGCCAGTCAAGGCTGCTGCCAATTGTTTCACCTTCCTTTAACTGCAAAATCAATTTTTTTTTTTTTTTTTTTTACAATTTAGTAATTTCACTTTAAGATCAAACCTGCAGAGAGGAATTGTCTGTGGCTGGAACAAGCAGGTGATGAACTTTTTTGCATGTGCATGGATAAGAGTAATTATTAGTTGCTTGATAACGAGTCGTCATGTCCTGCACACTCATCAGGATGTTCGACTTCAGTCTTTGAGCTGCAGGGAAAAAGAGGAACATTATTAAATATAATGTTAAATAATTCATTTTATTATTTTAATGAAAAATTACTTACGAAGACACTTTATCAACTGAGGGACTGCTGAGAATTTCGGCAAATTCAGAACAATGGTCCTCATGCACAGCTCCTGCAAAGGAACCAGGTTGAAGACCTTCGAGTGCAAAACTCGGGCTGCATTGACAAGTTCTCGGGTTCCATCGTGCTCAGCTACCATTTCTAAAATAAAAATATGTACACATGAATTATATAATTGTCTTAAATTTGAATATAATATGCATCTATAAATCGGGTGTATAAAACCAAGTTCAGAAACATAATCAAATTATATAAGGAATAAAAATGAAAATATTTTTTTATTCCTTACTTGCAAAAACAAGCTCATCGTCATTGTCGGCCCTTTGCGCTTCTGCAAAGACATCCATCTTGAGCACACACAATTACTGGCGGTCACCTCACCCTATGATCTTGACCCTTGGCCAAAAGCTGTTGACCTTTAGAGATTTTGAGATATTAAAACAAATTGTTGCTGGAGACCAGAAGGGAAATTTACATACAGCTAGATTTATTTCTCCATAAGAATTAGAAAATCGTCCACCAGATGCAGGACCAGCTTGGGTCTTCAGTCGTTTATCGCACAGACAGTGTCCCGTGATAGCTTTTTGCTTATCAAGCAAAAACAAAGCCGGGTGTTTGTTTACTTTTGGTGGGAGGAACTGAATCGACAGCAGAGTAAAAGAAAGGAGTTATGAATAATCACGTACAATACATTGACAGATGGCAGTTTTTAGGTTAAGCTGATTATAAAAATATTATGTGGAAGAAATTTATGCATAATCCATAAGTGACTTTAGTTTTTCAGCACAGGATGCATTTCGTTGGAGCCCGATCTCCAGCTCCTCATTGTACACTCCTCTTTGCGTTATTCGTTAGTACAAAAATGCGCGGGAACGCCGCGAGCTGTTGCTTTACCAAGTTCAACGTTATAAAATATGCGCCTTGGGTTTTGACAACACAGGCAAGAAGCATGTAATTTTATACTTCGTGATTTTTACTCATAAATTAATGTCTAGTAAGTTCCCCCGTGACAAAACTAAAAATTGCCCGAAATTATGATTATATTTGTTTATTTCATAGAAATGTAAAGTGCAAAATTACTTACTGCCGGATTGCAGCATGAATGATCTATCATGATTATAAATCCATATAACTGCGACAGCACCACAAAGACAGGAAAACATAAAATTACGATACAAACTAACAATTTTACTTTGCCTTATATTAATATAAGTGATCCGGATCCAAATTTATTTAATTTTATTTAAATAGATCCTTGATATATCTATTAATGTATGGAAAATTTTGCTGAAAATATCAGAAAAATTGATCGTTCAATCATTACAGGGAAAAGAAAATTTTTTGAATCTTTGTGGTGTATAGGCCTTAATTCATTAATGAAAACTCCTTTTTTTGTCTTTATTCCACTATGTAACGTAATGATTTGCTAAAAAATGCGCGACATCACCGGGAACTGTTGCTTTCAAGGGTATTTTTAATTTTTATCATATGATTGAACTTTGACAAGAATAACGAACAACTTTTTATTTCATTCTGCCAGAATTCTGCAAAAAATTAAATGTGAAAACATAATTTGGTATGCTCACATAGCAATGATTCTTTCAAACTGCCGCAATATTACAAAAATATACAGATGATACATAAATAAGCGAAATAAACAATTTTTCTTTGCCAAATTCCAAATTTAAGGATGGTCCATGAACTTTTTATTTATAAATTAAAAAAATGGAGCCTTGAGAGAGAGTCAGTTAAATACTGTTGCAAAAGGTAGAAATAATACAATTCAATATTGATGGGTTTTTCATCTAATCATTCTTCTCAAACGATAGGCAAGTTATATTACCGAAATGTTAATTAGCTTTTTGAAGAAAAAGAGACCAATTTAAAATATCAAAAATATCTGTCTATCGTAACTTCTTTTGGCAATAAATTTTGACTCATTGTGGGCAAAAACTTAATTTATTCTTTACTCATGTGGCACGTTTTGAGCTCAGGATGCTTTATTTAGTGTGGGCATCCTATATTGACAACTCCTCCGCATTAAAACTCCTTTCAGTATTTGTTATTCTCTGTTGCACACAATAATTCTTGAAAAAAAAAAAATGTGCTACAGTTCCTTAGTTAAGAGTAAATTTTAGTTCAATTCTGACTATGCCAGCTTTGGCCACCATCATAATACACTAGCAATTTTATTCTTGTTCAGTAATTCAGTTCCGAAAGAAAAGTTTGGGTTTTAGTAAAACATATGTCGGCGGTGATAACCCTTTCCTTGATACTCTTATAAAAAATTTAAAAAAATTTGTATTTGACTGAAAATGAAAATTTTGATGATGAATACGCAAATCTTAGTAAACGACGGAGTATTCCAGATCTTTGACCAAGCAAATGGCCGGACTGTCTTTGTCTGCGTTGGCAAATTCTAGGTTGCCAAAGAGCTGCTGAGCAACCGGGTCTGCGAAGAAGGTGTCCTTGACTTTTTCGCCAACGGACCCGCGGTACCAGCCATCCTCCATCACATCAACGCTGACCTTGACAGTGGCCTCCTTGGGCACATAAATGCTTGGCACTTTGTAGTGCACCCATGAGTTGGTCTCGAACTCACAGGTGGTCTCAACCGGCACCTTTCTCTCCAGGGTCTGCTCGATCACGCTCAGGGTAACCTTTAAGTTACTTTGATACTGAGACTTTGATTGCAAATCAAAACTGCATGGGAAATAAAATGATCAAAATTTTTTAAGTACTTTTTACCCCTGATCTTGCCTGCAAGTGTAACTGTATTGATTGTAATAGGCAATGGTCCTGCAGAGGACGTTGAAGCCAAGGACGAGCAGGTGTTCTTTGGCTCGGAATGAAAAGTCGCAAAAATCTCCAGCCCTAAAGCATTTTGGCACATCATCCTTCACTGCTGGTTCCAGGTTCAACAATCTAATGGTGCATCTGGGGTCCGTCCTGGAACTTAAGGTGTCTGGCAGGGGAGGAGCAACCTTGAACAAGGTAGGGTGTTTCTTCAGGTTGTACAGTAGGTAACGTTTCTCCTCAGGCATTAACCACTCAAAGACCCCTTCCAGGTCTTTCTCAGCCACAGCCAGCAGACGAAGGTGAGAAAGGGAACTTCTGACCACGCTCCTGCAAGCAAAAATTCTCTCAGTGAGAAGTTTTTACAGAACTTTAATGCTACCTTTTCTCTTCTTCTGTGGCTTTAGAGTTGGCCAGCCTGACGCATGCAGAGACCAACACAGATTCGGCCTCGAGATTCATTTTTGTGCAGGCCGCGAAGGTCGCAAATGCTTCTCCGCTAATCAGCAGAAAAGTCGAGTGCTCCAGACACTTCATCACACTGGCGCACAAGAACTGATCAGAAAGATTGAAAACATAATAAAACTATCAAATCATGAAATAGGCCCAAAGCAACCTTAAGGCAGGTGGTGGCCACAAATCTGTTGATGTGGTGCTCGTTGAGGATGCTCCAGGCATTTTCCAAGGTGAGATACTTTTCCAACAGGGTGCCAGTCAGGACGCCATCCATTAGGAACTCGTCGGCCGCCCTGGCCAGCAGAATGACTGAATCCAGATCGGCCACCTCTGATCGCAAACACTGGACGTGAGCGTATCTATTTTTTTTTTTAAGGAAAATTTGATTATTAAAAATTTCTCGGGTGAAATTTTTATAAGATTGACTTACTCGACGACCATCCTGAAGATGTGCGGCTCAATGTGCTTGACCCTGACTGGCCCTGGCGGTGTTAGGATGCTCCTGAAGAGACTCTCAAAGTACTCGCTGGCGGCCAGCAGATCCAACTTGCTGCCGTGGATTTCCTTAAAAAGTGTTTCGTGATAAAAAGGTCTCAATAATAGTTTAAAATGTTCATGGATTGTACCTGGGCGTTGTGGTCGTCAGGGCCGACGAGGAAGGTGCAGTCCGTGTCGCGACCCATTTCCAGGGCCTTCAGCTTCCTCTCGACGAAAGTCAACAACTTTTTCCCACCATGAAATTTCACTTTTTCGACGGTCGACATTTATTGGCTTCAATTATAGACTGCATATAAAATCAGAAAAATGACCCGTGTGTTGTGATTAATATATTTTCCAGCTCGGCTCCAGCCAGCAAAAGCGCTCAAAAAAGGCCAAGAAAAAGGGCTCAACGCTAAAAAACCACAGCTGCGATGGAAAACAAAATCTCAGCTATCTCAGCTCCTGCTGCAGATAGCGCATGTGTGTATACAAACAAAGTTGTAGGAAATTAGACGCCCTACAACTTTGCCATAGTGACCAAGGTCATAGGTCAAAGTTCAGGGTCAACTTTTTAAGCTTGAATTTTTTGATGCGCCACCAAAGTACCTAGTACATAAAAATTTTTGATTCCATTATAGCCAAAAGTTGCTCTAGTTGGTAGTCAACAACATATTAAAATTTGGCTAGACTGTTTTTTTCTGTTTTCGAGATATTTTAGGTCAAAAGCAGAAAAACGTGGTTTTCCGAGCATTTTCCTACACAAATCAACATTTAACCGCCCGTAGCTTTTTTCCTGCTAAAGTTACGCAAAAATGTATAATGACAAAAAATGATTGCCTTGACCTGTTCTTTCAAACCATGTATCGCACATAGTGACCAGGTCACAAAAGGTCATTGACCTCGGTGACCTGTGACCTTTCCAAAAATATTTGCTGGAAATGTTTCACCTCAATGAAAAGAAACATTAGAGTATCTGAAATTCAGTTTTGCACTTGCAAGGTCACAGGTCACCGAGGTCAATGACCTTTTGTGACCTGGTCACTAAATGCGATACATGGTTTGAAAGAACAGGTCAAGGCAATCATTTTTCGTCATTATACATTTTTGCGTAACTTTAGCAGGAAAAAAGTTACGGGCGGTTAAATATTGATTTGTGTAGGAAAATGCTCGGAAAACCACGTTTTTCTGCTTTTGACCTAAAATATCTCGAAAACAGAAAAAAATAGTCTCGCCAAATTTTAATATGTTGTTGACTACCAACTAGAGCAACTTTTGGCTATAATGGAATCAAAAATTTTTATGTACTAGGTACTTTGGTGGCGCATCAAAAAATTCAAGCTTAAGAAGTTGACCCTGAACTTTGACCTATGACCTTGGTCACTATGGCAAAGTTGTAGGGCGTCTAATTTCCTACAACTTTGTTAATAGACATACATGCGCTATCTGCAGCAGGAGCTGAGATATTTTTGATTTTCGAAAACACCTTTTTTTTCAATCCCCAACTTTGAGCCCCTGTAAAATAGGCAATTTTGAGAATTTTCAAAAATCCTTCTTAGCTATTTGTCTACACCCTAAGGGCAACCAAACTACCAATTTTCAAAAAGATCCGCCGACCCCATGCCAAAAGTGGGTCCCATTAAAAAAAATAATGCCAAACGTAAATTCTCAGCGCTGAAACTCCCTTCAAATTTCATTTTTCAGTCATAATTGGGGTGATAGAAACGTGATTTGGTGAAATTTTGATCAATTTTTTTTAAATTAAAACATTTAATTTAAAACATTTAAAAAAAATATATATATAAAATAATAAAAAAAATATAATTTTGGGTCAAGCCAATTTTGAGGCAAAAAAATTATTTTCGAGAATAAGAAACAATGTTAAATTTCA